TTCCCCGGGGGTGGTACCCCCCGGGGGGGGGAAAAAAAAAAGGGTTTCCCCCCATTTCCCACCGGGGTGGGGGGGGAAAAACATTTTGATTCCCCCCAGGGGGGTGCCCTTTAAACAGGCGGGTTTTTTCAACCATTATTTTAAGGGGGGGGGGGGGGGGGCGTGTTGGTGCCTCGGTTAGTGTTCGGCGGGCGGTGGGTTTGTACGTTTGACGTGTTGTCGATCGGGGGGGCAGGACAGCACGCTTGTTTGTTTGTTCTTGTACCTAAATGTCTAGATGGCGTATTGAATACAATTTGTTATGTGCTCCAGCTCTAGTATGAGAATGGAGTCTTGTAGCCCAGAAAATAAAAGCTTGGGACTTAACAGACGAGTGCGGAGCGGGGGGCGTGTTGTGGTCGTTGTCAGACCGAGGGTGCATTGGTGAAAGAGAGAGAAGAGAAGGAGAGAGGGGGGAGGGTATTCCCGTACTAGACCCATATACAAAGAGAGATGGTGGGTGCCATGCCGGTAGGACTTTAGACATACCAATGCTTGCCCTACACTGAGGTTGAGTTTAGCCCAGTTGTTCCGCACTAGTCTACATTGGATAGATGTCCCTGGAACGCAGTGTTTAAATCGCGGGGGTTGTTGAGAATGCTACGACGTCCCTTTTTTTTCTCCAGCTCCGTGTGTCGAGAGGTTTCAGCGGTGGTGGTGGTTGCTGTGTTTCCCAGTCTTGTCAGTTTTGAGTCCCTTTTTTGGTGCGTGTGTAATTCCAGGAAGGGCAGACGCAGAGCTCTGCCCCCCTTTTGCTCTTTTCAGCCATTACGAGAACAACCGCGTGCCACGTGCGGGCGAAGCATCCCGGACGGCCATGATGATTTTTTCGAGGCCTAAATGGGTGCCTAGAGGTTCCAAATTGTTTCAGAGACCCAACCAAACATGCCATGCAGGCTGCTGTGTTGGGGGGTCGATGGTTGGGCATTTTATGTGACTTCGCGCGGAGATAACTCGTGCGAAATTCCCTTGCCTTTTTGTGTTATACGGTACGTTTTTTGCGTTTACTTGGCGTGTGCTGTAAGACGATTGGGTGCACCCCATTTGAGCCGCACTAGTCTACATTGGATAGATGTCCCTGGAACGCAGTGTTTAAATCGCGGGGGTTGTTGAGAATGCTACGACGTCCCTTTTTTTTCTCCAGCTCCGTGTGTCGAGAGGTTTCAGCGGTGGTGGTGGTTGCTGTGTTTCCCAGTCTTGTCAGTTTTGAGTCCCTTTTTTGGTGCGTGTGTAATTCCAGGAAGGGCAGACGCAGAGCTCTGCCCCCCTTTTGCTCTTTTCAGCCATTACGAGAACAACCGCGTGCCACGTGCGGGCGAAGCATCCCGGACGGCCATGATGATTTTTTCGAGGCCTAAATGGGTGCCTAGAGGTTCCAAATTGTTTCAGAGACCCAACCAAACATGCCATGCAGGCTGCTGTGTTGGGGGGTCGATGGTTGGGCATTTTATGTGACTTCGCGCGGAGATAACTCGTGCGAAATTCCCTTGCCTTTTTGTGTTATACGGTACGTTTTTTGCGTTACTTGGCGTGTGCTGTAAGACGATTGGGTGCACCCCATTTGAGAGGCACTTGGTTGCTCGAGGGCTTCTCTCTTGCAGACATTCATCGCACAGCAGTATATGGTAGGCTATTCGGATCAGCTACAAACCTGTGGTCGCGAACAAGGTGCCATAGTAAGAATGAGCCGGTAGGAACGAGCCGTCTTTGACGGCGGTCTGTTTGTATGTGCTTTTTTTGTGGTCGGCCAACAATTTGTGGCACTCAGGAAATGTTTTTTTCTGTGGAGTACTGAATACTATCACACTACTACTATCGCGAAGCGTGAGCGTGTGCGAGCTATGCATCGTCGTGGCGACTTGCGTGGAGGTGGTTTAAAGCTGGGGCGGGGCGGGGCGAGAGCCTTCTCTCGTTCGAGGTACGGGCGGGTCTGGTCGCGCGTACCACATTAGAAAGCGTTACCGCATTTTTACCCAAGGGGAGTCCAATGGGCGTAGGATTGGCTGAGAGGGGGCGGGGGGGTGCCAGTTCGGAGTAGCGGATGCCCCGGGTCCTCTCCCGGTGAGAATTAGGGCGATAACGTACATCGTCCGGGACTTCATCAATTTTTTCTTGGCTCGATACCAAGCGGCTACCACGCCGGTGTGGTGGAGATGTTCGTCGAGCAAAGACGTTGTCCCTCGTCAGAGGGGGGGGAAGTATTTATGTATGACGGCAGGGCACAACCCATCATGAAAACTCTGTGGTGACGAGGTGAAGGTGGAAGAGGGCTGCGGGTGTTATGCTTTTGTGTGTCGATTTAGTGTTGTAGAGTTGACGATACATGAAGAAGTCTATGCAGATCCAGTTTGCGCTTTGTAAATCTGTTGTTGGTGTTCACTACGTGTGTACAGCACTTCCTTTATGCCCCCATCCAGCTTGCTCATACACTACTAGTGTAGAAAAGATGACGCGATGCCGTCGAACTTGGAGGTTTCTTGTGATTTGTGTTTGTGCGCAGGGGTGTGGGTTCGGGGGGTGCGGGTGCGGGGGGGTCTGGGCGGCGACTGCTCTTCAGTACCGCCGACTAAAGGTAGTATTGTGGTGCCAACTGGGAAGGGGAGCCTACGTCAGCATCTGTCTGTTGTTGGTGTGCACATTGAAGGCGCACTGCTGTATTGTCGACACTGCTGCTGCTGCTGTTCTCGACGTTGTTTTTGTTGCTGTTGCTGCCGTTCAGATCAGGTGGCTTGTTTGGTCTCGGAAAATAAAATCCCCTATGGCGATGGATGTTTTACTACAATACATGGTTGCAGTTGTTGGGTGCCTAATGCGAACACAGGGTATCATTTAGGTTATCATCAGCTGGTCTGCCTTGCGAAAGGGGCCCGGAACAACGCGTCGTGCTCTGTACACACGGCCCTTCTCTCTTCCATCCCAGCCCTCCTTCCTTCATCCACTGCTGCTGATGCTGTGCTTACCTTCAATCAATGCGTCGTCGTTGCAAAGTGCTCGCATCCTCTCGGTGACGCGCTGTTGTTGCGACATGTGTCATTCGTGATTGATGAGTTGCGCCACGGACGGTGTGATGTCGATGATCGAGCATCATGGACGGGAGCCAACGCGTTTCGTCGATGCATCAAAGCCGAAGGCAGGGGGGGTGGCAAGGTGATCCCGTGTCGGAGTCACTATTGGCAACAAACAGAAAATAAGCAATGAGAGAGAAACCTGTATTTCTTTTTACGAATGTTGTATTGATGATGCGGATTGCAGTGCTGGTTAGTCTGCGCATTTGCATGAAATAATAAGTTCAGCGATCAGTTGTTGCCTTCCGAGCGTGGTCCAACACTCACTATGTTTGCACTTTTTTGCAAACATTTTTCGCGGTACTGCTGTTGCGACCCCCCACCCTTTCGATGCTGTGGCATCCATCCCCCGTAATTTCTTCGTCTTTGTTCACACGAATGAATGCTTTTTATGTGGTGGTACTGCTGCTATGCTCGGTGGTTACAATAATACAAAACAACTACGGTACGGTACGTGGACAGTCATTTCCCACAAGGAGCCTGTCTGCATGCATGGGTTCACACGAAGTGAAGTAGTGTGTACACTACATGACACCTAGTGCAAGGTGCACCGCATGCATGCATACATACGCGCATGCATGTGTATGCATGCATCACATTGTGTACACTATGGACTATCTGTAGTTTTAGTCTACACCCACCCTTTGACTTGTGGTGAAGAAATAAATGCGATACGCAATACTCACTGTCTATCTGTCTGTGTACTTCAATGTACCACATTTTTCTACGACGTAGTAGCTGCTATTGCTATGGATAGGTTATTATGTACCTACCTGTGTTTAATTCTGAACGTAGGAGGAACAAATATAGGACATTTATTGTATCTGTCGGTATCTTTTTGAAACCGGTAAAATACTACTGGTACTAATACTGCTGCTGTGTACGTACAGTGCTGTCGAGAGTTCAGATCAAGAGGAACTCATCATTTGACCGATCAACGTACAGCAGTATGCCATGCATAAGGCCATCATGCTGTGCGTGCAGCATTTCAGGGTCCACTCCAGAGAACGGCGTGAGGGTTTGGTGACCCATATAGTTGTTCAGATTAGATCCAGATCCACGCAGGATCATGTTTTCATCGGACCTGTGGACTGCTCAAAGAATATCAAACAAAGAGTCATTTCTTCGCCTGGACCCAGTGGGGGGTGCCGCATCATACGCCGGGGCCCCTTCATCACCAGACCGTTTTTTTTTTTCAGGGGTGGTCAAATATTTTGGATCCAAGTATCTGCAGATGCCGAAAGATCTCGTCAACCTTCTACATTGTACGCAGCATGTGCATCAAACTAGCCCCACCCTTTGTGCAATCCCCCCGTATGGAATAGGACCACCATCGAGCCACCACTTCAAATGAAGATGTACGGGTCTATCGTAGATTCGGGTGCGGCAGGGTCATCCTCCGGGGGGGTTACGTACACCGACCGGTTTTCGATCGCAACGAAAGATAGGGCACAAGGTGGCCGAGGGACACGTCCCGCTTTCATCCTCGCCCTCGTCGGATCCCTCGCCCTCGTTGGCACAGCGATGATTGCGATCGGATCCCGTCTGCTGCCGGACACTTCAGCCGTCAAGGGTGCTGTTGACCCCGAGAGCAACGCATCTTTACAGGCTGCTCGACGAAGCAGCAGCTTTGTCGAGGATCGTCCAGTTGTCGGCAGGGCATTCCCCATTGCCTCGGACCAGGACCAGCACCAGCAGCAAGAGGGACAGGAGAAGCGACAGCAACAGGGAGACGTGTCGCCACCTCTCTCCTTCACCGCGCTCAACTTCTACCACGTGCGGGACGGGAAGCCGGCGCAGGACTACCCCTGGTTGAAGGACGTCAAGCTCATCGAACCGCACCGGGAGACCACGCTAGACGTGGAGACTCCCCGCGACGGATTCGAGTACCGCTGGAAGGTTTTGCTTGGTGCGCCGGTATCAATCACGGACTCCGCCCCGGCGTCATCATTTGAAGAAGAAGGTGTAACCGAGGAAGTTGTTGCCACCGCCAGCGGAGCAGAGGCCGTGGTTGTTTTCACACACCTCGGCGAAAACTCCGTCTCTCTGGAGGAGGTCAACTCGGATACGGGGGTGGTTACCCGCCGGCTACAGGAGAAGGTGATGGTCAAGTACGTGAGGAGGGAGATCAGGACTCTCACGGACGACGAGCGAGAGGAGTTGTTCGACGCGGTGAGGAAGTTCGTCAAGCTATATAGTAGAGTTACACGGCTGTCCAGCTGTTTTGCGAAGCGAGAGGAATTTTCTACTGTAACATACAACATGCAGTTGTATACAACATGCAGTTGTATGTGTACGTGCATGTTGTACAGTAGGCTGGATACCGAATGCATGCGTGGTTCTACATGTTGACAACAGTAAGGAAGGGCGTACATAGAAGAACGCCAATTTCGAGCCGGGTTTCGTCTTCTTGTATTCAGGCTTTTATTTAGGGCCCCAAACCCAGCTTAGGTTCTATTTTACTTCAAACAACGCAGTTCCTTTCTCTTCGAAATTGACCCGGAGAACCCCGATGTACGCTGTGTAGACTACCGTACAATCCTGTAGATTACACTGTATAAAGTATTGTAGTCGATTTGTAGTAGGGTCATGAGTTTTATTCTTCCTTCACGTTCTCGCACAAACTGTAAACGCAGATGTTCGCGCTCTGGGAGGTGAGAGTGGACGGTGGAAACGGCAAGGAGCTTTATGGGGAAGACTACGCTGACATATACGCGATAAATCGCTTGCACTACAAGGCGGCCAGTCAAAGCTCGTGTGATCACGTGAGTGTATGATGACGCGATGGAAACTACCGTATTCGTCTGGCAACCAGTTTGATCATCATGTTGGTTTGGGTGATTGTTGAATTTTGCGTGGGAGACAGTCGCCCGCCCATCTCATATTTTCTTGTGAAGAAAGCGTGTGTCGCGCACAATCCTCACCACCACCAGCCTGCCGCCATTCCGATGTTTCCTTGCTGAAATGCTGGCGTTTGTTCTGGGTTGTGCTTCAGGCCCTGCGAGTGGTTAGATGTTTTTCCTTGATTAAACTCCTTACCCGCAGCGCTTCTAGACAGACAATAGGACTATCAAAGTAATACGGGGCGCGCGCGGGGGCGGGGGCGGGCACTCGCTATCATACGCTGCCGTGAGGTCAGACCATCGATCCTTGCATCCTTGCGGGGCTGCGGTGGAGCACACAAATGATTGAACTGACTACGAGACTAGAAACCATAAAAAAATCCAATCCGTCATTTTGCGCCACCTGCCGCTAGGCTGGATGCGTCTCTATCCTCCCAATTCACACAGCGCTGACGCTGCGAATCTGTCCCAATCTTGCCACATTTGTTACCCCCGTGCTTTCTACGGTCCCAACAGTTCCACGACGGTCTGGGATTCTTGACAAGCCACTCCATGATCTCTAACACGTTCGAGTTCAGCCTGCAGAAAGTCAACCCCAAGCTGACGTTGCCGTACTGGGACTTCACCATTGAGTCTACTGATGTGGGGGGTCTTGAAGGCACAGTGGACGACGGGGGGCCCCTCACACGGTCGCCACTTTTCCGCCCTGATTGGTTCGGGACTTTTGACCCTGAGGACAACATGGTGTGTGTGTATGGGGGGGGGGGGGTTGTGTGGGAAAGATGAGTTTGATGCGGACTGGAGGGAAGGAAGGGAGAGGCATCAGAAATCAAAAACGCTGTTGTGTTTGGGTGGTATCGACGGGCATTCACTGTCCTTGGTTAAATGCATTGCCCAGCTTGTGGCTTGATATTGGGTATTGGGGTAGGGTGTTTAGCATGCGATCACAACAACAACAAGGACCAGGACAACGTCGACAACGATGGGCCAACAAGCGATAACAATCTGTTTCAGGTGAAGGACGGCCGGTGGGCATTCACGGAAATCCCGCGTGTGTTTGAGAACAACCCTGGTCTTATCGACACGGACGTGTACGGAAAGCTTCGGGCACCGTGGAATGTCAACGACCGACAGTGAGTTCATACAAGGCGCCCGACTTTGCGCGGCGTGCTTCATATGAGCTGGTGACACACCATGAACCGGTGTGTGAGGTAGCTTATCGCTCGCAAACCTACCACCAATACCCGCTGTGTACTCACTGGGCACTTGCCAGCGGTGCCTTTCTCGCCAACCCCTCCACGCCTATCCTACCCTTTCACCCCTCGGTTGCTTGACCACGCTGCATGACAGGTACCTGACCCGCGGCATGGGCGAACTGTGCGGTGCGGACATGGAAAAAGCGTTCCCATGGCCCACCGTGAGTAATTGATAGGTCCGGTTGCAAGGCTTGACATAGAAGTTGGCTGGTGGACACGCAAATCGACGTGACAAACACACCAACCCGTACCACCCCCCCCCCTCCCCCCCTGCCTTGTTTGAACTGCATACAGTGCACATCTCACTACGATCTCGCCACAGGCTACAGCGACTTCTACTCGTGGGTCTGGCAATCCCTTTACGACCCCCACGGGCCGGTGCACATCTGGGTCGGGGGCGTGCTGGACTGCGAAGAGACGTACGAAAGGATTGAGGGTCTTGTCGGAAAGATAGCAGCGAGCCAGCTCGCCGAGCAGTCGTTCATCCACCGCAAGAACCTCTACCGTGACGGGATCTTCAAGTGCGACGGAAGGGCGGACGTGGCCCAGTCCTCGGAAGAGGTGAGATGAGAGAGGCAGAAGTGGGAGGAGGGGTGGGGAAGGCGGGGCGGGTATACTTGTTTGTTGTTGTTGTTGTTGTTGTTGTTGTTGTTGCCGTTTAACAGATTTCCAACAATATAGCAAACAGGTCGTCGGTGGTTAGAAGCAGATATAGGCTTTCCGACAGGGAAGATGGCAAGGACGATGGGGTCCGCGGGCTAAAACAACGAGGGCGAAATAACGAGAGACGGACAGAGATGCAGACGTGTAACATTGCGCCCTTTTCGGATTAACCTTGTCTGCCGTATGTGCCGTCTAGCAGGTCATGCTCTCTCGGTGCGGGTGCCTGGGCTACAACCTGACCGAGGGGAACGACTACGAGAGGATCTACCACACCATGTCCGTCATCGACGACGTCATCGGAGACTACGATGCCGACACGAAACGCCAGGTGGTGGAGGCGATTTGCACGACCACCCTCGTGGACGGGGACCACTTGCAGGTGAGTTGTGTTTGTGTGGTGCGCACACGACCATCGGCCTTCGGTGCAGGTAGACGAGGCAGGCGGAATGAACTGGAACGAACGCTCAGGGCGTCTGGCACTGACACACGGGCCGTTTCTACGAGAGGTACAGTACAGTAGTACCGTGAACAAGCACGTTCATCACCCGCTGCTGCTACCAGAACACGCCGTCGGCCCTCTCTCTCACCGCGAAGAAAGAAACAGAGCAGCTGCTGCTCTAAAACGGCTGGATATAAACAACCCGTCTATGTGTGTGTTGTATCCCACCGCTGCGGACGTGTAGTGTAACACGCGGACAGAAGTGGTCTCTCGAAAAGTACGTTGACGACCGAATTAAGCGACAACCAAGCACGACAAATCCATCCTCTGGCCGAACTCAGAACGTCCTCGCCCCCTGCACCTTTGTCTCGGCACCACACAACACACCAGGCGAGCTCCTCGCTGGACCCGTCCTTCTGGTCGACGCACCCGACGATGGAACGGCTGTGGATGTACGTCGTGCTGACGGGCCAGATCACGGACTGGTCGTGGCCGGACGCGGACGTGACGTACACCACGCCAGACGGCACCGTGGTGACGGAAAGCCTGAGCGAGTACGAAGAGTCCTGCTTCGGCCACCATGGGAGCGACGTGTTCCCGTTCGGTCTCCTAGATACCGACACCGACGGCTTCGAGGTGCGAAACGACGACGACCTTTTGTCCTGACTTATTATTATTATCTCCACCGCAATCGTGCCGCCGTTGTTTGTTGTTGTTGGCTATCTTCCACAAACCCTGCCTACAAGTATTGCGGTAGACAATGCTCTCGACGATACCCTACCCTAAGCTCTTTGGCCCAATCCTTTCCCTGCTGGTCTAACCGAACAATTGTCCAGATCAAGACCGGCATCAGCTTCAACTCGGCCACCGGCAACGAGCTCACCAACCGAGAGGCTCTGCAAGCCTTCGACCCCCGGATCAACGCACTGCCCTACGTGTACGACACCTTCAACTGGGAGCATTGCGCGGCAGATGGATACGACTTCGGCGATGCCTGGCAGTCTTCCACGAAGAAATCCAAGTCGACTTCTGCACGTCCCGCCTTCGAAGACGGTGTCCCACGAGCGCCCATGTACAGCAGCACGCTCAAGCTGATGGCTGAGGGCAAGGCCAAGAGACGGGAGCAACGCGTCTGATTTGCATCTGCATGCAGTATGAGAAGACGGTAGCCAGGAGCGAGGGGGCAGGGCTTCTTTGCATGATGCTTTTGTCTTGTCAAACGACCGCAGTCACGCCGCGTTTGGTGAGAGACGATGTTCTTTATTTGAGGTCTTGTCTACAGTACATAGCCTAGGTAACTACAAACAAGGTTAGGATGTTACCGATTCTTCCCTTTTCGGGGGTTGGCTCAGTGGCCCAGGCTGTTTTTGATAATTGTATTATATATGTGTTGCAACAGCGACTTTGGATGGGATGCGGCGTGGGTAAACGGCGCCGGTTGGTCTTGTTTTTCTCGTTGTAGCCAACAACTTGTTTGTAGTGCAAAGCTTTAGTTGTTCAACAAGTACAGGCTATCTTTACGGTGCTTCTAAGGAACAACTGTTGTTTTTTATAAGCACAGACAGATATTTACACGATGGCTGTACCTTTTTTCGTGAGCAATGTAAGCATGTAGGAGAGATTCGGCGCGCTTACGAGTGTACTCTCTCTCACCCACCCGCAGCACAGTCATTGGCGAGGCGTTCGGTCCTGCCCGAGCCTAATCAGTACGAACCAATTCGCAAATCGCCCTGCCTGATGTGGGCGGACACCGCCCATAGTGCCTAAAATTTGCGGTGTTGTTGTGGTCAGGAGCACGCACGCCCTCGGTAGGTCTTGTGGTTGATCATCGCTATGTCACGCGCGCTGCGGCCGCTCGGTGGAGCATCACACCAAGCAGGGCGGAGGATACACCCCACCCTATGTAGAAGGGGTATGATACAAGGATATTCGGTTGTACTTGTCTTTATCGGCGATCGTCATTTCTATATTTGTTTCGCTTGGCATCGCGTGCCGAAGGGTAACTGACGGCATGCTCTATTTTAGTTTACCCCCTTTACCCGATATGTCGGCGGCAACGTCTGACTGTGTGGGGCCTTTTATATTTTTGTCTGCTGCGTGTGTTCTGCATGTAGACCATGTATGACAGTCTACAAGAAATCATCGCGTGCGTGCGTGTGTGTGTTGCTTTTTCCGGATCCATGTTATTTTTCATTTTCTCTTGAGATTTTTCCCTCTCAGAATGTGCACCCTCTTTGGGTATAGTTAGGCTGTGACCACGGACGGAAGGCGTCCGCGTCAGTTGGACCGGTACGGATGTTCCGCGTCAGTTGGACCAGTACGGATGTTCCGCGTCAGTTGGACCGGTACGGATGCTACAAGGGTACAAGGCAGCAATGGGTGAAGACCGGAACGAACGGTTCTAAATGTGAAGAAAACACTAAGTTACCTACACAGATCCTTTTGGTTAAGTGACGATGTAGTTGTGCGACTGGGTGTGTGTGGTTCGATGACGGAGACGTCATGGGCTCCAAGTATCGTACATGCCCCACAGCACGGGCCCGCAACTCTGACAAGAAAAACAGGCTCAAAATTATTGCGAAAATATGAAGAAAGGGCTTTAAGAAACATAGCTCACTCTCGGCCACACAACCAACGTCAGAAATGTCCCAATAAGAAACATGAAGGCGCGATACCCCCAAGATATAAGAAACAAGGGGTAGCTGGAGGAGCGTGCCCAAAAAGAAGCGTCCCACCGCTGCTCCTTCCGTGTTCCCACCCCCCTACCTACCTGAACAACAGTGCATTTTTTTGGTCGGGAGAGTGTGGTTATTTCGCCACACCAACGGCTGCTACACGAGTTTTCTTCCTGGTTGAGCGGCATGATGACCGTTTTGTTGTGTTGTATTTCGAAGTATTCTTTAGCCAAGTAAGAAAATATACGGAGTGGGAAATAAGAGGATTGGGAGAATGCGGATTCCAAAGGAATAAGAAATGCCGTTTAAGAAAACGAACTACTTCGGCTGGTCCTTGGACACGAATAAAGGGATTGAAGCTCGACCCGAATTTGACGTACTGTACCGCTCTCTGTTTTTTGGCCGAGCGATGGGTGCTTAGGTTCGAACCCCGACACCATGACGACATCCGTTGGCAACACGCCCGCGCGGTTGCGAGTGCTACAGACGTAGTCTATGCCTACGAATATCGGCACCGTTTTTTTTTCGTTTTCGGGAGCACGTTCTGTTTTTTGCTCGATTTGACGCATGCCAGCGACCCGCCCAAGCATCTCGAATCGGGCGTGAGAGAGATAAAAAAACAGAATGACGTCTTTTCATTGGTCAGTCGGCTAGCGCGGTCGATGCCAATAACAAAGACACACACACAGACAAGACGCCACAATGAACAGAAAAGGTGTAACGTCGCGAACTCTTCAACAACCAAAAGAGGAAAGCTGGCTTTTTTTTAGCATTATCGTCATCAAGGGTTTCGTCTCGGGAGGCAGAACAGGGTGCTCAAGGTATGGTGTGGCTTGACACCATGACAGAAGACAGGATCACCGCCGCATTGATTGCTTGTCTCCGCCCGGTACAGGCGGCAGCCATACCCCCCCTCTCTTGTGACCCTCAGGGGCAACATTGAACGCAGACAGGACGCAATCGGCAACACACAAGCTCAAAACTGCCACTGCCCCGGGAACATGCAGGGATATACAACGTCACGAGCTATACATCAACAATCATCATGTGACGGGCAACAGAATACCTGCATGCCAACTAGTACAAAGCGCTTCAACACTTGTTTGTCCCAAAACACAGTGGCGCCGCGAACACGCGTAAGGAACCTTCAAAACATGTTCCCATGAACGAGATACAACCCGAACGCCTTTGGTTGTGACTGAATCAGTGACCTCAACTCGTCGTTGACGCTAAATATCTACCCACCGGTAACCACAGCTCGCCTCTTTTTTCGCTGAGAGGCAAACAAAATTGCGGAGATATTTGTCGCGTTGATAAATAAAAAAATATGACTGATGTATAGAGAGGTAGACGTACACCACTCGTTTCGTCGTTGCCTACAACCGACGGGGACGATAGAATTGGACCAACGGAGAGGGCGAGGTTGCCCTTCCCTCTCGACCGTCGCCAAAAGCAACTGAGGTATGCGAACCCGTGCACACCAAAAGAATTAAATATAACAATTAATACACCAGAAAGACAACCACCCAACACGATCGTTTGGACGAACACCTCAACAAAGCAAGCTCACACCAGACGGAGAGATAACGCAACAGAAAGGCGAGCAGCATAGTTCCTAACCTGACCCCCCCCCCTTCCCCCGCCCACCACACCCCGAAATTACATCACAACCAATCCCCCCCCCCGGGTGAGAAACAAAATATTGATCAATTGATCAGATTGGCAGCCTTCTTGGCCGCGCGAGCTGCCCGTTTTTCCTCCAAGATGTTGTACATCGGGGCTCGTGGGGCACCCTGCTTGAAAGAAGGTCGGCGGCTGCTTGACGTGGGTCTTGCCTGTGCTGCCCCGTTCCAGGCATCGTCGAAGTCGAAACCGTCGGCCTCGCAGTGGGTCCACTTGAAGGTGTCGTACACGTAAGAAACCGAGTTGGAACGGGCATCGAAGGCCTGGAGGAGCTCTCGGTTGGTGAGGGTGTTCCCGTTCTCCATGCCCTTGACGCCCGTCTTCACCTGAAAAGAAATACGTAACGAAAACAAAAAAAGACATGAAAAAATGTATGTATCACCGCCGCCAGGCAGAGTAGCGTCACCGGACAGGTGTAAGTTAGGGTCGGGAGCTGACGGTTAGACCTAGAGGCTTACCTCTGGGACACTCGGTTCCATCGAAACAAGTTAGCAGATTCGCCAAGGACAGCGTCATGTTTGTCGCCGAGAGAAAGCGACCACCACAGAGCTAGCGGGGAAGTTTCGGCATGAGAAAAAAAGAAGTGTAGAACATCCAGGGTAGGCCGGGGCTTCGAATCTTCCCTGAACTACGCCGACAAGACGGAAAATATGGTGAATGTAATGCGGGGCTCCGGAGTGGGCGGGCCCATCAGAGTATACTCGTATTATAGTTTCATCGAGGCGTGATCAAAGCAAAGCGTTGTTGGTGTGACCGCCATCTGTGACGTTTCCCAAGCTCGAACAGCTCGTATAGCTGACGTGTTACTTGCCCAGCGAACCTCAGCCAACACAAAAATACTTTCTTACGAACCTGTAATATAAAGTCTTGCTACACGAAGTCAACATGAATACCTCGCTTCATCTTACCTCGAAGCCGTCCGTGTCGGAGTCCAGGAGGCCGAAGGGGAACACGTCGCTACCGCCGTGCCCCTGGCAGGCATCCTCGGAGAGGCTGAGCGACTCGACCTCGACAGTGCCGTCGGGCTTGGTGATGGTGACGTCGTCGTCCGGCCAGGTGAAGTCCGTGATCTGCCCCGTCAGCACGGCGTACATCCACAGCCGCTCCATGGTCGGGTGCGTAGCGTAGAAGGACGGGTCTAGGGACGAGCTCGCCTGTATGCGCGCGCAGGACGAGGAGCAAGGAGCCAACCAAAACACGCTTATGAGTGTTCCGCCCGAGTCAAGTCGTGCGCTTCGGAGGAACTGGCGTCGAACGATTAACGACTCTCATCAAGGACGTACAATAAAGTAAAGCCACACATCGGACGGAACAGAAGCGTTCGCCAGGAGTGATATGGGAACAGCAAACGCCCCAGCTCTCGCACGCGTCACCACCAGCACTACTGCGTTGGCGTAGAAAGGGCTTACGAACAGCACAATCCAGCGCTGCACGCACCGGAGAGAGTTATCAACGCACCTGCAAGTGATCCCCGTCGTTCATAGTAGTCGTGCAAAGCGCCGCCACCACCTGGCGCTTCACGTCCGCGTCGAAATCACCAATGAGATCATCGAGGTCCACCATGTTGTAGTAGATGGACTCGTAGTCATCCCCTTGGGTGAGATCGTACCCCTGGCAGCCGCACTGGCCGCTGGATAGCACCTACCGCCCGTCGCATGCGTCGTCAGCAAAAATCCAAACGAGAGAAAGAGTTGTTGCCGTGAGCTCAGGTAAGCTGTGCTGTACACATACCGTTCATCGCGAGGGACCCTGCAAACACAGCTATTTCTATCAACCCCGGGCCAGCATGCCACAGGGAGGCCAAGTAGCCGCAGCGGGGCCGCTCGGGGTTGGTATGCATAGCTTTGCCGAGCAAAAAATCCCTAAAATAGCGCAGTTATTCGCTCGTGATTCACGGCAAACACAACTGGAAACTCGGGGCCCAGAGCTGCCGTGGAACGACGGCGAAGAGACGTAAAAGCTTGACGTCACTGGCAACACAAAAGCAGCCATCTGACGCCCATCCGTTCCACAACAAGCGAAAACAGAATTGAGCGACTACCGTTCGGGTGCGATTGGGCCATTTGTAGACAAGAACTCTCCGACTAAAACAAATGGTAGTCATTCCAAACTACTTGTATGAATTCGTTGCTAATCTATCTATCACGGGCTCTCAATTTGTGGGAGAGATAAATTTGCTGTGTTACTGAACAAAAAAAAACTACATTCAGTAAGAAGCGCGAGAGAAAAGGGTAGGCTTGAATCTCCGGGTAGTAAAGGTCCAACAACGGTACCTGTCTCCTCTCCAGGGTTTTACAACAATATGCGGCGGAACCTAACTCACTTCCGCCGGCGCCTGTACCACCGTGGCACTTCCCACGCAGGAGAAAATTCCGTCTCGGAACAGGTTCTTTCGGTGGATAAACGAGTACAGCGCCAGGTCTTCGGCGATGGACGGACCCACGAGTTCGGCAATGGCGCCGAATGTCTTCTCGCAGTCCAACACGCCCCCGATCCAGATGTGCACCGGCCCGTGGGGGTCGTACAGGGAGTACCAGACCCACGAGTAGAAGTCGCTGTAGCCGGTGGCAAGGTCGTAGTGCGTCTCGCACGTGGGCCAAGGGTACCACTCGTCCACCTTGGCGTCGCACATCTTGCCCATGCCGCGGGTCAGGTACCTGCCGATGGTAGGTGGCGTTTGGGATGGAGGGGGTCAGGTACCCGCACGTACAAGCAAGCTTTCAGTAGGTACCCGGGCAACAAGCAGACAGCTTGCTGTGGGTAAAAGGCGAGAGTAGAAACAGCAGCACGGGTAAGGCACAAGACTACTCATCATGAGATTGTCCGGGGTGGAAACAGCAGCACGGGTCTACATTCAGCGAAAAAGCAAGGGTGGGGCTGCTGCCGGTAGGGGCGACGACTCACGGCCGGTCGTTGACGTTCCACGGAGCACGGAGCTTGCTGTACACGTCCGGCTCTACGGCGCCAGGGTCGTTGACCTTCATCTTCGGGATCTCGGTGTAGGCCCACCGGCCATCCTTTACCTGATGAAACGAAACCACAAAAGTTTTTCACAAGAAAAGGACGAATGCGGGTCACGGGACAAGACGTCAGCACGATCATCAAAAACGAACGAGCGGTTTGGTCGGGGGAGAGCGGCTTCGCCAGCGGCGGGAGGTGATGCCACTGCGTTCTTTTTTCACTCTATTGTATCATAGGGCAAGAATAAACGGTCACGGGGATTCTGCCGTGTTACGAAGACCGGTGCTGGAACCGTTCCAAGCATTTTCTCGGAGCGCCCTTCTAGCAGGCCAACGTGGTGGTAAACAAATTTGGTAGCAAGTAGCACTTGTTAGCCAGCCGTCGCCTACCGAACGGTATTGTACGCTAACTCAAAGATTGCGTACCCTCCGACTCAAGAGCCAGGGGAGACACGGATACTTTCCTCTCCGTTAGATGCCTCCATTCACGGCAGCTTTCTGTTCCGTCAACTACAGCAGCTTGCAAGAAACGTGAAAGCAACAACCTCCCCGAGCCCCAGAAACCTGACCAGACGCCACGAAAGGGGGTCCCGCGGTTTAAGGAGAAGGGGCAACGCTTGCACGTGATTGGCTGCCCTGTGAACCTATGTATGTGCGGCGATTGTTTGACTCCGATCGACTGTCAGACAACCGTTCGCTCCACTCGTGGTGGGTGCTGTGGGGCTTGTTTCCCCGCCGTAGCCTTGGACGACGACCAATCAATGACCCTGCTTTCGACCTCAGAACCGCCTCTCCTCTCGCCTCTCTGTGCGAGGAACCGAACACAATAACTCACTTGGCCATCCGTAGGGTCCGCAGTTCCGAACCAAGACTCCTGGAACAGATCGCTCTTGGTCTGGGACTGATATCCTCCATCGCCTTTAGTACCGGCGGTAGAGGTCTCGATCGTGAAGTCCCAGTACGGCAAAGTCAGCTTGGGGTTCACCGCCTGTAGGCTGGCCTCAAAGGTGTTGGTAATGACGATGTGGCTGGTCAAGAAGCCGAGACCGTCGTGGAACTGTTGAAGGGGCAAAGACGCCACAGGGGGGGGAGAGCGAATCAGCACTACTAGATCGTTTGTTTCTACCAAGGCACAAAAAATATTGTCACCATCACGTTGATACGTAGTTCGGACTGGTGCACGTTCGAAAGAAGCACCGGTGGGTTCGTGCGCAATACTTCAAGAAGAATAAAAAATTGTAAAACGAGGACGGATCACCTTGCGTAAATTCTACGTAGAACACGTACGGGTTTCGGGTTTCGTGTGGTATTGTGGAGCCCATATGTGACCGCTTGCACTTAGGCCGGATATATCAGCCATGTCCAAGGGTGCTCTGCGCGGGTCGTGGCCTGTTCTGGTCAACAAACCTCAGCAGCGTGAGGATGACCGAACGAGCGCATCCATCTCCTACCTAGTAGGTCTCTGCACTTCTGCTAATCTTGTGTGCTTGGTTCACTACCGCCGTGCCCACACAAGGAAAATTAGAAAAAAAGCGAGAAAAAGCTATGGACAGATCTTGAGGCGACGCCATCGCCGGTGCTTCGGCAATACCATTTGGTTCAGATGTCTTACATGAAGGTTACCTGTACAGATGTTTTTGTACTTAGCACCAGCTGGTATCACTGACATAAATCATCAGCAGTGTGTAGACTGAAAAAGACTCGAAATTTGTCCAGTACCCAGCCGGTTTTCCTCCACTCACTGAAAATACTTCACCACATCCCGTTCGAGTGTGGGTATATCTCGAACGAGTAGTCTCGCTGGGTGTGTCTTTATTTTTCCCAAGAATGGGTCAGGGAAGGCTACCCGTATTGTATGCGAACAACAGCAACAGGATCGCACACCTATGCATTATTACACATATGGGAGATTCGAAATTTAAAGGAAGCGGCGAGGGACGGATGGATATGTTTGTATCCGTGACTACGCAAAGCACGGCAAGGGAAAATCGACGCAAATTTTACTCCATCTCCATTACCTCAAGGATGGGAGAGATGGCGCCGGGTGCGATCTCATAAACTTGAACGCTTTTTTCTTGGGACCCCGGTGCCATCTCCCCAACCAGTATGATGTCCAGACACACACAGAGCACACAGCGGCCTTGCTGGTGCTGCGGTGGTGCTGAATACGGGCACCCCGGTGCCATCCATGTCTCGAACTACTGTATTACAGTGTACTCCACACCACCACCATAGTCTACAGCAGTAGGACACCGGATTATCAAACAGGAGTGTTGGCCCCGATTATGCTCTCACCAAATGCATGTAAAGGGGACCTGCTTACGGTTCTCTACAAAGCCAAGAGAGGTTGCATATATATCGTAAAGGCGTGTCGTGCATGCCAACGGCAACTCACGTGGTCGCACTGCTTAGGGCTCGCTCCCTTGTAGTGCAGGCGGTTGATCGCGAAAATGTCCGCATAATCATCTCCGTAGAGCTCCTTCCCGTTGCCGCCGTCCACTCTCACTGACCAAAGCGTGAACATCTGCGTTTGTACCAGAACGTGGTTGTTAAACGCAATGCGTGTAGATGACACACGCGGGGGGCGTCCATTTCAAAACGAGCGCAAGTTCGCCTCAGCAGCAGCGGTAGTATAGATTCAACATCACAACGTACGATAGTAAGCATAGCGTCAGGCGGCACGCTTTTTCTTGGGTACACGTGAAGCATACAACGCACATGAGGGTTTGAAAAAGACACAGCACCACCTGCTGTACGCCAAAAGCAATTTATCCACCCACGTCATTAGGTTTTTCAGCAGAAATAAGCATACCGCCGCGTATAGCGTTCCTGCATTGAACAATTCGTGCAATCTGCCTCCGCACGAGCATGCTGTGAAAACGCAAAAAAAAACTTAAATTCTCGATTGCGGAGGAAAGAGCAACAGCGATGCGCATCTATCTGAAAAAAAAGATCGAACGAAAACAATATTGCACATATACATGTACGTGCACATCACTCAATTGACTCACTCACCGCGTCAAACAGCTCCTCTCGCTCATCGTCCGTGAGAGTCCTGATCTCCCTCCTAACGTACTTGACCATCACCATCTCTTGCAGCCGCCGTACGACCGTCCCATCCGCGTCTACCTCCTCGAGGACAACCGCGTTCTCATCGAGCGTGGTCAGGACGACGGTACCCTCCGGCCCTGTCGCCTCGGTGCACAGTTCTCCCTCCGCCGGGCTTCCGGCGAACACCCGCCAGCGGTAGTCGAACCCGTCCCGTGGAGACGATACCGTGAACGTCGTCTCGCGGTGGGGCTCGATGAGCTTGACGTCCTTGAGCCACGGGTAGTCCTGGGCCGGCTTCCCGTCGCGCAGTTGGTAGAAGTTGGTCGCCTCGAATGATAACCGCGGGATCTCTTCTCCGGAGAGCTGCCCGTCCTCTGCAGGACGTGTCTCGTCCTCTGCACGCGGAGACACGTCGGCTATCGGGAACGGTCGAGCCACCTGCTGCTTCTTCTCGTCGTCCTCCACCGCAAGGTCTTCGCTGGGAAGGATCTTGGCCTCGTCAGCGCGGATCAGGCTCGGAGTGTGGCCTTGGCTGCCGACGTCTGTTGTTGTCCTCGTGACCTTGGGCAACCGATATCCCGCGTGGGTGAGGGCCATCATGACTCCCACGGCTAGCACCCCGACGACCGTAAGGGTGAACCATCGCTTCCCTCCCCCTTGGTCGTCCGGGCTCTCGCCACGCAAAGCGCGCGTCGGATCAAAGTCGAAAGAAACTCTTTCGGCGGCACCGGCATCATCACCACGGGCAGTTGGCGTCGGAGAGACGGCGCGCCTCGACTTGGTCGGGTCTTCCACGGATCCATACTTCCGCCGAGCATATTGGGGTGACATGGTCGTACCGCTCTCTCCCTCTCTCGGAGCTCGGTAGGGACGTTTGGCTGTGGGAATGTCATGGCTGGGGGAAGACTAGAGGGAATCCCACCAGCGTGACTCCGTGACGCTGGATTGCACAGGAGCAGTCCCCGAACAAAGGTGCCGTGACCGAAACGTGACCGAAAAACGTTACCTATACCCCCCTCCCCAGGTCTGCGAACCAGAGACTAGCCGCCGTTGTACACAGTACACAGGGACGGTGAGGCCTGCAGTTGTGATGGGCAACATAGGCAAAAAATCAAAAATGATTTGGCGCCAGGGAAAGAGCCAGCAGCGCAGCGGTGATTTTTGTAGGGTCGGGTGCGTTTTACGCTCTTCTGTTCACGTTTTAGCCGATATCTCGCCGAATACTTAACGAGTTGCCTCAACAACGGTATCCGGAAGGAGCTGGAAACATGGTCTGTTGGGCAATGCCAAGGTTTGGCGCCGTGAGGTTCCGAATGTGCCGGAGAAAAAAGGTTGTGTTGAAGCAAAAATGCCAACGGTTGCGAGCGGTCACTTCAAGTTCGGCGTTTTGGGCCGGCACGGGTTGTGATATCCACCGATAACTTTCCGAAGAAGGAAGCAACAGCAACAGCAACGCCACGCGGCGGGAGGTACCTCTCTGCTCCATCTTTCAAGCCCAAGGTCTGCTACCGTGGGGTATCGTGCATGTAGGGAAAAACAAATTGGTTGACCCTAAAAAGTCCACGTCTCAGAGAGCGGCTAGTTCAAGTTCGCAACGAGTGTCTGCTCAAAGTTTAGTTTTTCAGCGATAACTCTTCGAAGGAGGAAGCAACAGCATTAGCAATGCCACGCGACGGGAGGTACTTTTACCCACCATCTGTCTCGTACAAGGTTAGATGCCTTGGGGTATCGTGAGTGTGGAGAAAAAAGGTTGCAACTACCCTCTCCCGCACGGAACAGCCCGAAAAAGCCGCGCAGCCCTGTTCTGATCGTCAGTCCGTTCACCGCTTGTCACGATCGGCATTTTCTCCTCGAGCACCCAACGAGCCGGCCCGTTTTATGGCTTGCCGGCGAGCAGAGTCTTCTGGCTACAAATAATGGCCATGGTCTCGGTGGTAGGGTGCCGATAGCCCCTCTATCAGCAGTGTGCAGCAGGTCGTGTCGTACACTTGCTTTGTAGCGGCCTCGCGGCAGGTGCTCAGACAAAGGAACTTCCATAAAATCAAAGGGCGTCGCCAGGAGGTACATAGCAGATATTCGGCCAATCAGATCTCGATTTTGATTTTGAATTTTTCGATTTTGATTTTCGTTATTATACGCCCTTTTATTTGATAGGATGTGGGATGTGGGTCGGTCCCAGGAGGTACTGTGTACCCTTCAGACCCCTACCCTCTTAGAATTGTCTTTTCTGTGTACCCGGTGAGATGAAGTTGTATTGTCTGTCCTCTGCTGTGATGCACCTGCCATAGAAGCAACAACACCAACAGCAAACCACCTACTATTATTATAAGACAAATCGACAACCAACCGCACAGCAGTGTCACACGAAACTTCTGCCACCCATATGGAAAGCCTGGGTTTGTATGTATGTGAATATGTGAATGCCCCTATCGGTAGGATAATTATTTTTGCCGTGATTAAAGAACACCCCGCCGGGGGCTCACACAAGAAACAGGGGTGGGGGGGTACGAACAAAACAACTACGGTCATCCGGGCCTACGACGACTGACGACGCGAAAGATTGACCACACGTGTTGCAGAAAACGAAAAAAATTTCCTATCAAAAAATCACGCATGGGTTTCAGCGGGGATTGCAGCCTGCCATCCCCCCGCGTCTGGCGGCGCACTCGAGCTACCTTGGTACCACTTTTCATATGCTCAGCACTCCACACTCAGACCTCGGACTGGAACCAAACTCGGCGGGAGCTTTGATCAAGTGGTATACTACACTGGTGAGGGGTCTTTTTCAGCATGAGTGTTGTGAAGGTGGAGGAATTGTAGGAGTTGATGGTTTGAGGTCTCTGTGCGGAGTTTGGACGCGTTGGTTACGCCGCCTCGGGGAGGCCTTCCTTCGAGCCAAAGGTGCACCTTTGTAGAGTGTACCAAAGCGCCCAAGAGTGGGATGGCGTGTAGTTTGGTAGGTGAGGAACGATTTGATGCTATGCAATATTTTGGATCTGCCCAATTGATGGTGAAATCGTCGTATTAGACATGGCTCCCAAAACGCGGGGGAACCGGCAAAAGCGCCTCCCGTTGGCGCGCTTTTTCACATGTACATTGCACCCCCACTAGCATGCCCCTGGCGCGTGAAGCCAACTGCTACTAATGGTGTGTAAAGCAACAACATGGGGTGCGGATGTTAGTTGAACACTGTCTGTTCGCGGACCCCCAAATAACATGCAGGACGCTTTCGTCGTCGGGGAACATGGACGGGAACATGCCGGAGAACTGCTGTAGCGCGTGTGGTGAAGGAGGTGATCGTTCTGACTTTCGGCGCCTCAGGGAAAGGACCGGGCGTCAAGTATGGGCTTTTATCGAAGAGGCCGGCATGGCCGAAAATTCCCCTCCTTGAATGCTGAGGGCTCGGGCATGTACCGGCTTGTCCTGTGCAACCGGCCGGACTGCCTCCTGCAGCTGTACATCAAGCAGCTACGGGAGAAGAACAAGCCGCGCACAAAGCTTCGAGCTCAGCAACTAGCGCGGCACGGCGCAAAGTGGACCGGTATTCCTGAACCGAGGAAGCACATCAAACGCCGTTGTCTGGATCGCTACTGCACTTCGCCTGAGGCTGTGGAGGCCTTGCTGGGTGCTGTTGAACTCGAGGGGTGTGTCCTCGACATGTGTGGGGGGCCAGGCGATGCCATTGCAACTCGTCTTGGAGCCACGTGCAAGGTCGTCACGAACGACATAAGCACTAGGTGAGTGCTGCTGCGTGTTGCTTCTCTTGGTTGGCGGCAAGGTAATCTAACGGGACGTCGCCCCGCCTGTCAGTCAGCGCTGGATACTCTAGCGGAACGTGCCTTTGAAATTGCGGGCATGACATGATAAGTGCATGTTCGGAGCTTATTGTTTCCTACAACCGATCGCTTCCACTATTCTTGTTCTCGTGGTCCATCGCAACGACCAGTCGCGCGTGCCTTCGACATTTTTTGTTGAAAGCAAGCTAGTCCCAAGCTGTTCTTTATTGTTGCATGATATCACTGGTATATCGCTTTGCGTTTCAAGGCGTGTTCCGACCGCGATCAACAGTAGCGTCACAGCATCCCGAGCTCCGTGTCTTTTTGGTATTTGCAGGATTGGGGATACGAAACTGTTAAGTTTTTTTCTTTTGTGTTGTTGTCAATTACAGCCAAAAGGGTACCTCCTTGCATTTCTTTGCCTTGTTTGGTGTTGAAAGTTCTGCTAGGTTGAACATAGAGCTGGTCGAGTGCAAGCGAACTACTTTTTTCATGAAGTATCTGCTCGTATAATCAGTGGCACAGGCGTGGTGTGGTTCAAAGTAAACGCAATGATGACGTTCAGGGATTTTTAGCGTCTCGAAGTGATCGACACATACGACACGTACATTGTAGTCACCATAATCAGGTGGTACGTTTGTGGGCGAGAGGAAGGTCCCTTGCGACTTTTTCCTGGATCTCCCACCTTTAAATCTTTCCGAGATAGCCACGTACCCTCATGACAATTTTTTTGGGACTTCCCTCTCACCCGAACTATCCGTTTGTCATATTGTTTTTCACACCAGATTGTCCCCTGGAGGGTTGCCCCCGGACACGAACCTGGACGCAAGCTTGGCGTCATTTGCTGTCGACTTTCTGTTAGCCAAGCCTGGGCAACGACCTGACTGGGTCCTGACGAGCCCCCCGTACAAGGGCGCGCTAGAATATGTCAAGTCGGCTTTGTCGCTGGCTGCGAAAGGCGTGGCACTGAAACTGCCACTGTCGTTCTTGGAACCATGTGCCGACCGGGGAGGCTGGCTTCAGGCGAATCCCCCCGCTGTGTGTGTGTTTTTTTAGGAGGGCTAGGTACACACCCGCGCACGTCATGGTTGGCGAATTTTGGGGCGTGTGGTATGCTGATGGTGGTAGTGCGCGTACCTGTGATACGCGAATGGTCTTCTGCCCGGAATAATAAGCGTTGGGGAACGAGTGGAAGGTATTTGCGAGGGTGATGTAAGGTACAGATGTCACGCGGGTGCGTTGTTTTGCATTCCCCTATGTATGGCGCGCTCTTGTAGCAGCCCACAGTAAATCCCGGTGTTGTTTTTTTCGGATAAGCTCGCAACTAATCATCGCAGCCCCAATAGTTGAGCACGATTGTACGACAACCAATCCCTAAATAAATGATAAATGAGACGTGGACGCGTGTTACGGTTTGGTTAGTTGGTGGTGGGTGGAAGCGCGCTCGGCGGTGTGGGCATGTGCCTTGTGAAAGAAATACAAGACAATCCGGCCTCGTTTTTCTTTGCCTGTGATCGGATAGGCTCTCTGGAGCCAGACGAACGATCAATCTGCACGTTGTTGTTAATTTGTACGATCGTTCTATGAATGCCCCAGGCAAGTACACAACAGACTGTGCCCCGGCCTCTGCGCTATACGATAGTCTCATTTCGAAAAATACTTTGGCAAGTACATCACACGGACATTTCATTACTAGGGGCGGATACAACCTGGTCCCTACAATCGACCTGCTGTAGCGTACCTTCCCACCCCTCACTCACGAGTTGCTCCTCGTACTCTCGCTCATCGTCCTCTAAGAATCCGCACACACCGAAACTCATGTCCATGATTGAACTTGCTACAGCCGGTGAATTATCGTCGTGTTCTAACCCTGGGTCTCTATCGTCCTGGTGCACCCCCAACCTTTCTGCCATTGGTGAATCCTCCTCTTCGTCGTCGGTGTCACTATCGTCTGGACAGAATTCCTCCTCGGGTGTCGGCTCTGCACCACCCTCGTCTACTACTGTGTTCTGCTCCTCGCAGCACGCAAGTTTGCATTTGCACAACTCTGAGCAACGACCTGGACCACTATGTTAACCCCTACACCCGCCCAGAGAGTTACCTTTGGCAACGTGCGCAACAGCATCATAGCACCTCCATCACACTCCGGGTTCGTGAGGTACCCCTTGCCGTTCCAGTCGGGCACTTTAATCGGATAGTTGCCGGAACCAAGCGGCACCACAGAAAGCCAGTACGCCACCAACCATTCCATCCGTTGCACGCCAAGATCAATAACGTCGTAGTTTGGGGCAGCCTGCTTTATCATACCCCTCGAATACCACTGTTCGGTCGTGCGTACCAAATCTCGCCACCAGCGTCACCGGTGTCATCATTGGCCCTCAACTCGTCCTGTAAATGGGAAGGAGGTTGGAATTTTTTAAACTTTGTCTATGCTTGGTGGAACTCACGTGACGTATAGTTTCCATTCACGATTCGTCACGACAACGGCAGTCCTCACTTTCGGGAGAAGAGCCTCGAAGTGGGCTCCACGGTGGAGGACCAGGTTTGCCCCCAGCAAAGCGGACGGCTCTCTGGCGTCCACGATACGCTCTCCCACGATACCATCCTCCTTGACGAGCTGGATGACCTCGCGCAATAACAGCTTGCCAAGGATCACAAGAGCTTTGTCGTCCAGGTAGCCTCCGGGACAGAGGGTGACGCGTTTCCAGTCTTCCAACGTGCAGATGTCGGCGGTGGATTTGGCCATGCTCTTGATGTCCGCATCCGGTTTGTCCGAGTCGCTTTGGCCTACAAAGAAGCCCCCCCCCTCTCCTGTAGCTGCTTGGTACTCTACGATGAGCTCCCGACAAAGGAGGATAAAGTCCGCCAATTCCTTACGTTGTGTCGACAGCACACATTGCGCTGTGTGGGCATCCATTCCACCTCTGTGTAAGGCGAGAAATATCACCGACAAGGGCCCACAGTCTCCCTGCCCGCGATTCGGAATCGCCTTGTACACGTCTCTCCACGAGCAAAGGCCAGGATCGAACATCTTCTTCGAGATCTCCACCGGTCTCCGGAATTTCAGCAGTTGCCTTTGACGCCTACGTTTGTTCGTCCCTTGGCTCCCCATCTACCACCTACGACGTTAACGTGCCAACATGTTGTTAAGGCTACATCTTCTCCCACAAACCAATAGGCAATAATCTAAAATATCTTTCGTGTTGTGTTTCGCATGATCACTTATGTGGCGAGCAGACCTACGCATCGTATTTTGAACAGTTTGGAGGACTCCTGTACCTTCTTGTCAAGTTGACCTCAGAAACGTCTCCAAGACGCGGTTTGTTATCCAAACAAAAAAGAAAATAAACCGGACTCCCTCCTTCCCCTTGGTGCAGTATATGGATAAACCAGTGGAACTATATTGCGGCTGGAGGGGTGGTATCTTACGATCATCGCATGTGCTGGACGTAAGCGTTATGCATACCGCACCAAACATGTGCGCAATGTCCTCTCCTATATAGACTGCTATGGTTCACGCGGGAAAGCATACACGAGACGCCATACCTCTCATGTATTGCAGGGTACCTGGCATCGCATCTACTGCTGCTGTGTGGGAATTGGATTCAAAATTCGAGTTGTTCCGCCGCTGCACAGGCCCTACAGGGTGTCCTGCTCAAACGAATCTTTGCTTTCACCCACCTACGTGACCCGCTGGCCAGCTTCCTGCCACCTCCAGCTTCGTGTTGTGTGCTGTGTGCCAGTGGAGCGTTGACCCTCGTGTACCGGCGCCGTGGAGCACAGCAGTCACAATGACCACCCCACCTCACGAATTCAAATTTCAGCCCGCAATAGAAATCCTGGAAGCACACTTTTCAACTTCGAGCCAAAGGTGCACCTTCGTAGAGTGCATCAAATTGCACGAGAATCGCAGGGTAGGTAGCCCTGTCGGTGAGGAACGATTCGATGCTGTGCACTATTCTGGATCGACCCTATTACGAGAGGTGGAGCAGAACGAACGAGATTTCCTCGCGGCGTAACCTCCCGGGACGTGATTCCATGATTATATTTTGATTGTATAAAATACAAATATGGTTATTTTTCCATGGGCTGCAACACGTGTGTGACTGACGAAGTAAGGGAAATCTGCGTTTTGTGAGAAGCGGCAGAAATAAACCGTTGGCCAATCAGAAAGCAGGAAGCGGACGAGCGTGTTGGTTCCTGTTTTCAGTCTACTCGCTTCACCGTGTTTACCGGGGGCGAGCGAGAGCACGTGTGTGTGCTTGTGGTGGCCAAGGGTTGTTTCTGCCGTGACGGCTGGGGCCAGCCTCGTCCGCCATGTTGGATGTACTCACAGCATTGACAGATTATTGCAACCGAGGAATGTTCCTAGAAGATGGAGCGGGGAATTTTGGGGGTTCCGCAGTTGTAATAAATTGGGGGAATGGTGGTACCATCTTTGCCACATATTATTCTTGTTTTCTGGGTATGCGTGTCTGCAACGGTGTTGGCCACATGCCCTTGATCCCTTGATTAATTCATCTTCTTTTTTCCCGGCTATCACGCCCTGGGCTATCACGCCCGTGCCCATACTACCTATCCACCAGCTATCACGCTGCCAGGCTTTCACGCCTCTAGGCTATCACGCCATCACAAGAGCTATCACAGCACCAGCGCCAACACATCAGAGCTATCACGCTCCGGAACATCATAGATGCGGCGGGTTACCACACCCGTCCCTTCTTCCCCTCGCTGCCTCGGCAAGGTTTTGCTTAGGCATGACCCAAAGCGAGGGGGGGGGTCTTTCTAGCGAGCAGGGCTAGACTCATCCTCAAGGGACCGATACCTTCTTGCTACGGCGCACCCACCGCAAGGCGTGCGTAGTGGTGGAGTTGGGTCGGCACTGGTGCGTCAGGTACAAAGAAAGGTGCAGATGCGCGGGCCTCGAGGCCGTCGGTGCAGGCAGCAATGCCCATCTCATCTTTGTGCGCGGAGGCAGACGCCATCAGAAAGAAAGGTGGACGGGCACTATGTACACGGCCCTATGCTTGCTAGAGGGAGCTGTACTGTCTCAGTAACCTGGTTTTGCCATCAAATGAGGAGGGGACAGGTGGTGACGAGCTGACTGGGCTGGTTGACCCTTCGGCGCGAGAATTTTCAGACCAAGAACCAACCCTAACTAAGTGCAACGAGGGAGAAAGCGAGGAACCGACTGGGAAGGACAGCAACGAGAGCGTGTACGAAGCGGAGCGGGTCGAATTTGGTCGTGCTAGGACTGGCCACAGCGACACCGGAGAAGCGGCACCGGAGCAGCGGCACCGGAGCAGCAGCGGAACCGGAGCATGCGGACGGCATCGAACCGTGTCGCACGGACAAACATCTCTTGTGTTGTCAATTATTTTCCGTTTTTTTTCCTGAATATAGATAGGTGTTAGGTGTGTGTAATGACGTCACTGGTTTTGTAGTGAGACGCGGCAGAGATGGCGCGGATAACCCGGGTGCCTTAATGTGTACCTCCATCGTGGAAGACCCCTTCAATGTGGAACGATTCCTAGTCAGTGCCGATGTTTACACTGCTGTGTCTAACACACAGATGATCTGGATAGATTCGGGCGATTGCCAATTGCAATGATGGCTTTGGTTGGTTGTTCTTCTTCATTGTATGTCCACGGGACCATTCTGACAGCACTTCAGACAGCAGCTGCATGCCCCGAGCTTGTTGTGCACCATACACCATGGTGGTATTTTGTACAGACAGCACTTCAGACAGCAGTACGCTGTAGTCGACAAACATTCATTTTGGTGAAGTGCGGGACAAGGGGGGTGATGCCGCCTGCTGTAGTCGAATTGTAGTGTGTGGGCGTGTAGTTCAGTTGTGAGCACGCAAACGTGCTGCAGGGATTGTAGGTGTACCTCCTCGGGCTTGTGTACCCTTTTCTTGCTAATAGTGTGCGTGTTCTTTAGATCTTCTGATGGCTTTAGCATTTTTGTGACCACGGGCCGAGTCTTTGCTAGATTTTGGGAATAGCAACTGACACGAGTTTAATGTGAAGAAAAACAACAACAAAACAACACCCGCGGGCAGTTTATTTACTGTATTTTATCGTTGCCGGCAAACTCGCCGCGCGGTTCTTTTATTTTTAAGAAGAATAAAGAGCACCCTCATACTCAGACTCCAGTTAATAATATGGAAACCTCTCATGTCACTAGACTACGCATAATAGATAATAGATAGATAGGAGGGAGACAAGCACGCGAAAATCACCACCTACCGTAGCGACACACACACTAAAAAATTAACACAAGACACAAGACAACAACAACACGGACCACCACCCGAGACGACAGCAAAGACACGTCATCGCTCGTGGGGGGTGCAACCATCAACGGACGGTGACCGCTTCTGGAAGATTGACTTTAAAAGTATGTTGTTGGAGACCATGGTTCACATTATTGATTGATTGATTGTTTTTCGCGCGAATTTGTACTGTCTATCTATCTATATATAATATGTAGACAGAGGCGACCTCACGCCCCCCCCAAAAAAAACAGTCACAGCACTTCTCATTACGCCCATCCATGCGTATGCACCTTTTTGTGGCGAGGGACTCCATGTTGTCAAGAATCCTGCTAATAATCATCTTGCTGTTTCGTCTATCTATACGTAATACACGCACGATCACACCCGAATTACAAGGAGACCACCAGCTTGAACGCGCTCTCCGCACGCTGGGAAAGAATCCGGGACACTCAAGGACACTCAAAATACGTAGTGAATGAATGCGGACCCCAGAAGATGCTCTTCACATTAATTAGGTTTCCTCTCCTATAGTAAACGAAAGAGCCGGGAGAGAGGGAAAAAAGCAGAGGCGTAGTGTACCCGTTTAGTTTCCTGTCGTGGACATATATATGTATATCATATTATTAGAGTCGTATTGGGTGGTGGAAAAGGAGCCTCTCCCTGCACGATCAAGTCGTCAGCAGGCCACCACACACAGCAGCAGCAGCAGCAGTAGTAGTCCCCGGGGCTCGCTCTCTGTTGCACCCATGGACGCAGCAGTAGTAGCGCATGTATGTATGTCCTGTAGTAGACCACAGCAGCAGCAGCAGCAGTAGTACCGCTGAAACTATGGGAGACCACGAATCATGACGACAGGTGGGTTGTGGGTGGGTGGGGACCCAAAGAAACTGTCAGACACGATCAGTTTCTTATAGGGGCGTTTTATACATTCCAAATTTTTGTTCAAATGTACAAATTTTATTAGATAGAGAGTACATCCTCACAGTTTCTTGAAAGCAAGAACAAAGAAAGGGCGATCAAAAAAGAGAGACCGCCAGCGACAGGACATACAGAAGTATGCATAGAGGAGAGCAGAGTGAAGAAACAAGAGAAGGAACAACGCACCCTTCCTTGCCGCTTTGACCCTCAGGAAGCTTTCCATGTCCTGCAGCAAGCAGCAGGGGCAGCACCAACTACCTCACATGCAGCAGCCGTGTACACGGACCGGTAATGTCATAAGATGGATATTCCGGTCGCCCCGGTGGTCTAGTTGGTAGCCTCGTAATCTTCTAGAGGTCAGGTCAGGGGTTCGAATCCCGGCGTAGGCGAGCTTTTAATTTTCTTGCAAAGTGAGTTTTTCTCTCGCTTCCGCTCCTGGCCAACCAAGTGGATAGCGCTAGTTCGTGTGTACACAGAGGAAAGAGAGTGCTGAACTCTTCTCGCATTAAAAATTGAAGGCGAAGTACCGCAGGAGGGGAGGGTAGAGAGAGGCTCTTCTGTGTGACCACGGGTTGGAATAAACGGCACAACAAGTGCTGTGAGCGCTGATTTGAAGTGAAGAACAAAAAAAAAAAAAAAATGTCATCGTAGTTTAGTCTCTTTTCCCTTGGCAAGAACAAAAACGCCCGACGGGACTAACTTAATTTATTTATTTGCAGTCACAAAGAAAGAACGTAACTGCATGACGAACTTCATTATTCTGCTTGCCGTGGAAGATGCGCATCTCAGTACGCGAGGAAGGAGAACCCCTCGAATAGAATGTGCAGCCGTAGACCCTAGACCCTATCCCTTAAGATCAACCAGAGTTAGTTATACCCGATACATCGTAGCATCATCTCACACAGAGGGAGACCCGAAAAAATAAACTGTTTCCTTGGTGGCGAAGCGGACCCTCTTGTTCGTGGCTCTCCAACTACTGTAAGCGGATGGCGACATGGCTTAACGACATGGCGACACAGATAGACGAAATCTAGGGTTGACGTCGATCTTAATTCGCCGCAGGAGGTGGAAGCTACCCAAAGTCGGGCAGGGGTCGGATTTGCAATTCCCTACGGAACCGTACTTTAGGCGCCATGAGATTTATTTGCACTGCCGTAGCCTACAATATTAGTCGGCAAGAAAACACAACATAAAAATCTTCTGCGGACCAGGCCCTCTGTTGCTTCAATTGGCGAGCTATTATTACGATGGCGAGACAATTTCCGGTCTTGTTGTCCGTCGCAGGAGGTGGAAGCTGATGCTCAAACTCGGGGAGGGATCATGGATTGCTATTCCCTACCGCACGATCACCGCCGCATTGATTGTTTGTCTCCGCCCGGTAACGGCGGGCAGCCGTACCCCCCCTCTCTTGTGACCCTCCGGGGCAACATTGAACGCTGACAGGACTCAGTCGGCAACACACAAGCTCAAAACTGCTACTTCCACGGGGACACCCAGGGATATCCAATGGCACAAGCTATACATCAACAACCATCATGCGACGGGCAACAGAATACCTGCATGCTTACTAGTGCAAAGCGCTTCAACACTTCCTTGTCACAAAACACAGTGAGTGGCGCCGCGAAAACACGTTAGAAACTATCAAAATGCATGAACAACACAACGCCTTTGGTTGTGACTGAATCAGTCACCTAAACTCGTCGTTGACACTAAATATCTACCCACCGGTAACCACAGCTCGCTTCTTTTTTTCGCTGAGAGGCAAAACGAAATTGCGGAGATATTCGTCACGTTGAAAAATAAAAAAAGGTGCCGCGAAAACACGTTAGAAACTATCAAAATGCATGAACAACACAACGCCTTTGGTTGTGACTGAATCAGTCACCTAAACTCGTCGTTGACACTAAATATCTACCCACCGGTAACCACAGCTCGCTTCTTTTTTTCGCTGAGAGGCAAAACGAAATTGCGGAGATATTCGTCACGTTGAAAAATTAAAAAAAGGTGTCGCGAAAACACGTTAGAAACTATCAAAATGCATGAACAACACAACGCCTTTGGTTGTGACTGAATCAGTCACCTAAACTCGTCGTTGACACTAAATATCTACCCACCGGTAACCACAGCTCGCTTCTTTTTTTCGCTGAGAGGCAAAACGAAATTGCGGAGATATTCGTCACGCTGAAAAATAAAAAAAGGTGCTTATATAAATATATAGACAGATAGACTCGTTTCGTCGTTGCCTACAACCGAAGGGGACGATAGAATTGAACCAACGGGGAGGGCGAGGTTGCCCTTCCCTCTCGACCGTCGCCAAAAGCAACCGTGTGTATGCGACACCAACCCGTGCACACCAAAAGAAGTAAATCAAGCAATCAATATAACAGAGAGACAAAGACAAACCACCAAAGGCGATCCTTTGGACGAACACCTCAACCAAGCAAGCACACACCAGACGGAGAGATGACGCAACGAACCGGCAAGCAGCAGGGTTCCTAACCTAACCCCCCCCCTCCCCCGGCCTACCGTACCCCGAATCTACAACCCCCCCCCTCCGGATGAGAAACAAAATAATGATCAATTGATCAGATTGGTGGCCTTCTTGGCCGCGCGAGCTGCCCTTTTCTCCTCCAAGATGTTGTACATCGGCGCTCGTGGGGCACCCTGCTTGAAAGAAGGTCGGCGGCTGCTTGACGTGGGTCTTGCCTGTGCTGCCCCGTTCCAGGCGTCGTTGAAGTCGAAACCGTCGGCCTCGCAGTGGGTCCACTTGAAGGTGTCGTACACGTAAGAAACCGAGTTGGAACGGGCATCGAAGGCCTGGAGGAGCTCTCGGTTGGTGAGGGTATTCCCGTTCTCCATGCCCTTGACGCCCGTCTTCACCTGAAAAGAAATTTGTCACGAAAAAAATACCAAAAAGTCACCGCCGCCAGGCATCGTCGTGTCACCGGACAGGTGTAAGTTAGGGTCGGGAGCTGACGGTTACAGGCTTACATCTGGGACACTCGGTCCAATCGAAACAAGTTAGCAGATTCGCCAAGGACAGCGTCATGTTTGTCGCCGAGAAAAAACGACCACCACAGAGCTAGCGGGGAAGTTTCGGCATGAGAAAAAAAGAAGCAACGCTACAACGTGTAGAACATCCAGGGTAGGCCGGGGCGACGAATCTACCCTGAACTACGCCGACAAGACGGAAAATATGGTGAATGTAATGCGGGGCTCCGGAGTGGGCTGGCCCATCAGAGTATACTCGTATTATAGTTTCATCGAGGCGTGATCAAAGCAAAGAATTGTTGGTGTGACCGCCATCTGTGACGTTTCCCAAGCTCGAACAGCTCGTATAGCTGACGTGTTACTTGCCCAGCGAACCTCAGCCAACACAAAAATACTTTCTTACGAACCTGTAATATAAAGTCTTGCTACACGAAGTCAACATGAATACCTCGCTTCATCTTACCTCGAAGCCGTCCGTATCGGAGTCTAGGATGCCGAAGGGAAACACGTCGCTACCGCCGTGCCCCTGGCACGTCTCGCCGTAGAGGCTGAGCGACTCGACCTCGACAGTGCCGTCGGGCTTGGTGATGGTGACGTCGTCGTCCGGCCAGGTGAAGTCCGTGATCTGCCCCGTCAGCACGGCGTACATCCACAGCCGCTCCATGGTCGGGTGCGTAGCGTAGAAGGACGGGTCCAGGGACGAACTCGCCTGTATGCGCGCGGTGGAACGAGGAGCAAGGAGCCAACCAAAACACGCTTATGAGTGTGCCGCCCGAGACAAGTCGTGCGCTTCGGAGGAACTGGCGTCGAACGACTACGACTCCCATCAAGACGTACAATAAAGTAAAGCCACAGATCGGACGCAACAGAAGCGCTAGCCAGGAGTGATGTGGGAACAGCAAACGCCCCAGCTCTCGCACGCGTCACCACCAGCACTACTGCGTTGGCGTAGAAAGGGCTTACGAACAGCACAATCCAGCGCTGCGCGCACCGGAGAGAGTTATCAACGCACCTGCAAGTGATCCCCGTCGTTCATAGTAGTCGTGCAAAGCGCCGCCACCACCTGGCGCTTCACGTCCGCGTCGAAATCACCAATGAGATCATCGAGGTCCACTATGTTGTAGTAGATGGACTCGTAGTCATCCCCTTGGGTGAGATCGTACCCCCGGCAGCCGCACTGGCCGCTGGATAGCACCTACCGCCCGTCGCATGCGTCGTCAGCAAAAATCCAAACGAGAGAAAGAGTTGTTGCCGTGAGCTCAGGTAAGCTGTGCTGTACACATACCGTTCATCGCGAGGGACGCTGCAAACACAGCTATTTCTATCAACCCCGGGCCAGCATGCCACAGGGAGGCCAAGTAGCCGCAGCGGGGCCGCTCGGGGTTGGTATGCATAGCTTTGCCGAGCAAAAAATCCCTAAAATAGAGCAGTTATTCGCTCGTGATTCACGGCGAACACAACTGGAAACCCGGGGCCCAGAGCTGCCGTGGAACGACGGCGAAGACATGTAAAAGCTTGACGTCACTGGCAACACAAAAGCAGCCATCTGACGCCCATCCGTTCCACAACAAGCGAAAACAGAATTGAGCGACTACCGTTCGGGTGCGATTTGGCCATCTGTAGACAAGAACTCTCCGACTAAAACAAATGGTAGTCATTCCAAACTACTTGTATGAATTCGTTGCTAATCTATCACGGACTCTAAATCTGTTGAAGGGATGAATTTGTGATGTTCTGGAACAAAAAAAAATTAGTTCTTCGAAGTACTTCATAAACGCGAGAGAAAAGGGTAGGCTTGAGTCTCCGGGTAGTAAAGGTCCAACAACGGTACCTGTCTCCTCTCCAGGGTTTTACAACAATATGCGGCGGAACCTAACTCACTTCCGCCGGCGCCTGTACCACCGTGGCACTTCCCACGCAGGAGAAAATTCCGTCTCGGAACAGGTTCTTTCGGTGGATAAACGAGTACAGCGCCAGGTCTTCGGCGATGGACGGACCCACGAGTTCGGCAATGGCGCCGAATGTCTTCTCGCAGTCCAACACGCCCCCGATCCAGATGTGCACCGGCCCGTGGGGGTCGTACAGGGAGTACCAGACCCACGAGTAGAAGTCGCTGTAGCCGGTGGCAAGGTCGTAGTGCGTCTCGCACGTGGGCCAAGGGTACCACTCGTCCACCTTGGCGTCGCACATCTTGCCCATGCCGCGGGTCAGGTACCTGCCGATGGTAGGTGGCGTTTGGGATGGAGGGGGTCAGGTACCCGCACGTACAAGCAAGCTTTCAGTAGGTACCCGGGCAACAAGCAGACAGCTTGCTGTGGGTAAAAGGCGAGAGTAGAAACAGCAGCACGGGTAAGGCACAAGACTACTCATCATGAGATTGTCCGGGGTGGAAACAGCAGCACGGGTCTACATTCAGCGAAAAAGCAAGGGTGGGGCTGCTGCCGGTAGGGGCGACGACTCACGGCCGGTCGTTGACGTTCCACGGAGCACGGAGCTTGCTGTACACGTCCGGCTCTACGGCGCCAGGGTCGTTGACCTTCATCTTCGGGATCTCGGTGTAGGCCCACCGGCCATCCTTTACCTGATGAAACGAAACCACAAAAGTTTTTCACAAGAAAAGGACGAATGCGGGTCACGGGACAAGACGTCAGCACGATCATCAAAAACGAACGAGCGGTTTGGTCGGGGGAGAGCGGCTTCGCCAGCGGCGGGAGGTGATGCCACTGCGTTCTTTTTTCACTCTATTGTATCATAGGGCAAGAATAAACGGTCACGGGGATTCTGCCGTGTTACGAAGACCGGTGCTGGAACCGTTCCAAGCATTTTCTCGGAGCGCCCTTCTAGCAGGCCAACGTGGTGGTAAACAAATTTGGTAGCAAGTAGCACTTGTTAGCCAGCCGTCGCCTACCGAACGGTATTGTACGCTAACTCAAAGATTGCGTACCCTCCGACTCAAGAGCCGGGGGAGGCACGGATATTTTTCTTCTGCGGAACATGCCCTCATTCACGACAGCTTTTTGTTACGTCGACTGTACGCATAGGTATTCACGAACAAGCGTTTTTTGACTACAGCATCTTGCAAGAAACGCGAAAACAGGTGTTGTGGGGCTTGTTTCCCCGCCGTAGCCTTGGACGACGACCAATCAATGACCCTGCTTTCGACCTCAGAACCTCCTCTCCTCTCGCCTCTCTGTGCGAGGAACCAAACACAGAAACTCACTTGGCCATCCGTAGGGTCCGCAGTTCCGAACCAAGACTCCTGGAACAGTTCGCTCTTGGTCTGGGACTGATATCCTCCATCGCCTTTAGTACCGGCGGTAGAGCTCTCGATCGTGAAGTCCCAGTACGGCAAAGTCAGCTTGGGGTTCACTGTCTGTAGGCTGGCCTCAAAGGTGTTGGTTATGACGATGTGGTTGGTCAAGAAGCCGAGACCGTCGTGGAACTGTTCAAGGGGCAAAGACGCCACAAGGGGGGGAGAGCGAATCAGCACTACTAGATCGTTCGTTTCTGCCAATGCACATAAAATTGCCACGATCACATTGATAGATCGGACTGGTGCACGTTCGAAAGAAGCACCGGTGGGTTCGTGCGCAATACTTCCAAGAAGGAAAAAAAAATTGTAAAACGAGGACGCATCACCTTACGTAAATTCTACGTAGAACACGCACGGGTTTCGTGTTTCGTGTGGTGTTGTGGAGTCCATATGTGACCGCTTGCACTTAGGCCGGATATATCAGCCATGTCCAAGGGTGCTCTGCGCGTGTCGCGGCCTGTTCTGGTCAACAAACCTCAGCAGCGTGAGGATGACCGAACGAGCGCATCCATCTCCTACAATAGGTCTCTGCACTTCTGCTAATCTTGTGTGCTTGGTTAACTACCGCCATACCCGCACAAGGAAAATAAGGAAAAAAACAGAAAAAGCGAACAACAGGATGGCACAACTGTGCATTTTTTTTATGCATTACACATATATGGGAGATTCGACATTCAAGGAAGCGGCCAGGAACGGATATTGTTGATCCGTGGTGAGAGATGGCACCGGGTGCGATCTCATAAAATTAACGCTTAGGGTGTTTGCTTGGGACCCCGGTGCCATCCAGTATGATGTCCAGACACACACAGAGCACACAGCGGCCTTGCTGGTGCTGCGGTGGTGCTGAATACGGGCACCCCGGTGCCATCCATGTCTCGAACTACTGCATTACAGTGTACTCCACACCACCACCATAGTCTACAGCAGTAGGACACCGGATTATCAAACAGGAGTGTTGGCCCCGATTATGCTCTCACCAAATGCATGTAAAGGGGACCTGCTTACGGTTCTCTACAAAGTCAAGAGAGGTTGCATATATATCGTGAAAGCGTGTCGTGCATGCCAATGACCACTCACGTGGTCGCACTCGTATGGGCTCGCTCCCTTGTAGTGCAGGCGGTTGATCGCGAAAATGTCCGCGTAATCATCTCCGTAGAGCTCCTTCCCGTTGCCGCCGTCCACTCTCACTGACCAAAGCGTGAACATCTGCGTTTGTACCAGAACGTGGTTGTTAAACGCAATGCGTGTAGATGACACACGCGGGGGGCGTCCATTTCAAAACGAGAGCAAGTTCGCCACAGCAGCAGCGGTATTATAGATTCAACGTCACAACGTACGATAGATAGTACGCATAGCGTCAGGCGGCACGCTTTCTCTTGGCATGTGTGGCACACGTGAGCATACAACGCACAGGGGATCATGGGGGTTTGAAAAAGACACAGCACCACCTGCTGTACGCCAGAAGCAATTTATCCACCCACGTCATTAGGTTTTTCAGCAGAAATAAGCATACCGCCGCGTATAGCGTATAGCGCTTCTGCATTGAACAATTCGTGCAATCTGCCTCCGCACGAGGATGATGGCCTGCTGCAAAGGAACGTTTAAATAAAACCAAATAACTGCGGAGGAAAGAGCAGCAGCGATACGCTTCTATCTGGACATGATAAAAAAATCGAACAAAAACAATAGTGCAGAGGTGCAGATCACACTCAATGACTCACTCACCGCGTCAAACAGCTCCTCTCGCTCATCGTCCGTGAGAGTCCTGATCTCTCTCCTCACGTACTTGACCATCACCTTCTCCTGCCGCCGCCGTACGACCGTCCCATCCGCGTCTACCTCCTCGAGGACAACCTCGTTCTCATCGAGCGTGGTCAGGACGACGGTACTCTCCGGCCCTGTCGCCTCGGTGCACAGTTCTCCCTCTGCCGCGCTTCCGGCGAACACCCGCCAGCGGTAGTCGAACCCGTCCCGTGGAGACGATACCGTGAACGTCGTCTCGCGGTGGGGCTCGATGAGCTTGACGTCCTTGAGCCACGGGTAGTCCTGGGCCGGCTTCCCGTCACGCAGTTGGTAGAAGTTGGTCGCCTCGAATGATAACCGCGGGATCTCTTCTCCGGAGAGCTGCCCGTCCTCTGCAGCAGCAGGAGGTGTCTCGTCCTCTGCACGCGGAGACACGTCGGCTATCGGGAACGGTCGAGCCACCTGCTTCTTCTCGTCGTCCTCCACTGCAAGGTCTTCGCTGGGAAGGATCTTGGCCTCGTCAGCGCGGATCAGGCTCGGAGTGTGGCCTTGGCTGCCGACGTCTGTTGTTGTCCTCGTGACCTTGGGCAACCGGTATCCCGCGTGGGTGAGGGCCATCATGACTCCCACGGCTAGCACCCCGGCGACCGTAAGGGTGAACCATCGCTTCCCTCCCCCTTGGTCGTCCGCGCTCTCGCCACGCAAAGCGCGCGACGGATCAAAGTCGAAAGAAACTCTTTCGGCGGCACCGGCATCATCACCACGGGCAGTTGGCGTCGGAGAGACGGCGCGCCTCGACTTGGTCGGGTCTTCCACGGATCCATACTTCTGCCGAGCATATTGGAGTGACATGGTGGTACTGCTCTCTTTCTCTCCCTCGGAAGTCGGCAGGGACGTGTGGCTGTGGGGATGTGCGACAGTTGGGCAGTGAATCCCACCGGCGTGACTCCGTGACAAAAGGCCCGAACAAAGGTGCCGTGACCGAAAAACTTCTGTACCTACAAGTATACCCCCCTGATCAGGTCTGCGAACCACAGACCAGCCGCCGTTGTATGCATACGTGTGGACAGAATGATGAGAACGTGAAAGGGTGGATGGTGGATGGGATGGGACGATGGGACGCCGTTGTCACGGCTGTGGTACGCATGAGGAGTTTGGGAGAACGTGATGATTTGTCACGGATCATGATCGAATACCTATAATAATAATGATCACAACATACGACATCGCTTGCAACGCAATTTTCCCCGCGTTGTTGGTGACCCTTCTTTGTCGAGTGCCGTGTTTAGAGTATGGGGTACGGAGGTGTTGTGAGGTGTGGGATGTGCTCTGTGCACCAATGTGCTTCCTCGTGGGTGCTATACATATTGCAACAGGCGTATACCTTTTACCTTTTACAGTTTAGTCCCCGTCCCGGTTCCCGGTTCCCACAGTTTACCTACAGCTAGGCGACGAGAGACTGTGCGGCTTTCGGCCAATCAAAATACTCAGGTGTTTTTTGCGTTATGCCTTTGGTTTTGTTTTGGTGGCAGCATGCAATCAATGCGCACCGGGTGTGCGGTGCAGCGACGTTTGTCTGACCGTCTGTGGTCTGGCGGCACTGCTGCTGTTTGTAGTTGGTTCGCCATGCATGGTGTCGTCTACGGCGGCCAAGGTGTGTGTGTTTGGGCAGCTCCACGGGTTGGTGCGGCGGTGTCGGGAGGACGTCGGGAGTATCTCGGGGTGTGTAGGCCAATCAAAAATTGTTCCTTCAAAGACCAAAATGAGCAAGACTGAATTCAAGCTTTCCTGCGGTCTTTGGGGGCAATTCCATAAAGCAAAAGATTGAATTCCTAAAGATCCATCGGTCTTCGGCGCTCGGGAGGATCAAAAAGACCAAGATGAAACTGAAATTCAACTTCGCAAACACCTAAGTGTGCCTATGGGAAATTCCTTAGAAAATCCTTCATTTTTTTTTTTCTGTGTCTCCGTCACGCGATGCCCTCCCTCCCTATCCATCACGCTTTCTTCACACCAGACCTTTGCACACAGCAGAGCTCACCCGGTCTTGCACAACACGCTCGACCCGGCCGCATCTGCAGCGGGCGGAAGACGAGGGCAAGCAAGAGCGAGTAGGACAAAGAACGGCCAGAGCACCCACCCCATTCATCCGACTGGGCACGCAGCAGGGGCAGAGCGAGTCCTTTCTTTTTGTAAACCGTCATGTCTTTCCAATCTTCCCCGACGCTGCCGAGGAGGAAGTACGGATCGGTCGAGCAAGACGATGTCGCGAAGGCAACGCCTGTGTTGTCGTTCGACCACCTTCGGGAGAACGGGACGGAGAGAGGAGAGCAACCTAGCGGGCGGAGATGGTTTAGCTTTGCCGTTGTGGGCACGCTCGCCGTGGGCGTGATGGTAGCCTTGGCTCAGGCGGGGTATCACCTTCCTCCGGTGACAACGTTAGAGACAGCACCAACGGAGTCGATGATCGAGGCATCCGGGATCGCGCGGAGCAGCGGCAGCGGCAGCGTGGAGGTCAACGACACCCCTGCTGTTGTCAAGGTCCACCACTCCCGGCCAGGAGTCGCAACGGAGCTGGCCCCCCTCTCGTTCGAGGCGACAAACTTCTACCACATTCGTGACGGAAAGCCGGCGCTCGACTACCCGTGGCTCAAGGAGGTCAAGCTCATCGAGCCGCACCGCGAGACGACGTTCACGGTATCGTCACCACGGGACGGGTTCGAGTACCGCTGGACCGTGCGTGGCGCCGACGCCGACAAGGACGACGTGCGTGCCGAAGCGAGCGGTGCCGAGACGGTGATGATCCTGACCGTCCTCGATGACACCATGATTGATTTGGAGGAGGTAAACGCGGAGACCGGCGTGGTTGTAAGAAGGCTCGAGGAGAAGGTGATGGTCAAGTACGTCCGCCGCGAGTTGCGGACCCTCACGGACGAGGAGCGGGAGGAGCTGTTTGACGCGGTGAGTGGGCTTGATGACAAGAACAAACCTTGCACAGCAGCAGGAGCAGTCAGACCCGCTCGCGCAGAAGACACACGACACAAAGACTGCTGTCATTTCTTAATTTTCCCGTAAATTAATGTGCAGAGACGTCTAGCCGCTGAGCGAACCATCGTTGCTGAGCCGCTTTCCAGCACGGAGATATCTCGCCTTTCGAATCCCCCGCACTCCCGTCCCCCATGCTTTGGCCATTGTGGCCTGTCGCGACTCGCGCAGCGTTCGCCGGGCAATATATTTCCGTGTGAAAGACCCGTAGTTGACGCCATCAGTCACGTGCTTGTACCCGTAGGTTGCATAAGATATCACACCCCGTAGACCGATTTTCAAAGCTCGATTTCTGGCAGGAAAAGCAGCGACCGTGCCGAAACCGGCGGCGATGGAACCGTCTCGTCGAGAGCTTTCCGAAAACACATCCTTTGATTTCGGCATATCCTCTTCGTCGTAGAGTATTCGAGCTTTGAAAATTGGTCCTGTGGGTGTGATACCTTACGCACGCAACCTACGGTATGCATACGGACGGGTGTACGGAAAGTGCATGTGGAATCGCGGAGCACAAGAGACGAAAACTCATTTCCTTCAAACAACGCATCCCGCCGTGGTGTTGAAACCAGCAGTAAATGCTCAATAATGTATAGCTGCCCGCGATGTCACGTTGCCGCCTCGATGGGTACCTGTTCGTCCTGACAACGGTTTCCCTCGCAAATGTCGCTGTCGACCTCCACAACAGATGTACACGCTTTGGACGGTGAGAGTGGACGGTGGCAACGGCAAGGAGCTGTACGGAGATGACTACGCAGACATCTACGCCATCAACCGTCTGCACTACAAGGCAGCAAGCCCGCTGGACTGCGATCACGTGAGTCTATTCTTAGAAAGCATTGTATACCATGGTTTACTTTTTGTGTGTCCTCAAGATGTAACGATCTACAGCAGTAGCGTGTAAGAGGGTGAAGGCCGCTACAATGAGCTCGTCGGAATTGTGTTCTCCAGACATTTTGTGTTCTGTTGTTGCCTGGCGCAACATATCCTTCACACGGAGATACCCATGCGCATGTGTGTTCTGCTGTGCCTGACGTAACATATCCTTCACACGGAGATCTCCGTGCGCATGTGTGTTCTGTTGTTGCCTGGCGTAACATATCCTTCACACGGAGATACCCGTTCGTGCTCATTTAGCAGATACTTCAAGAAGTACGTTTCGTGTTGTGTTTGCATCGGCAAAAAAAAATAATAAGCCCGGCATTGACAGAGATGTTCTGGGTTAACGTTGGGACCGACTGCTGTTCGGTGTGTTGTGCGCGGAGATCGAGTGCGGTCTGCCTATGTACCTGTTGGCGCATGGCGAACAAGATACATGTCCAAATTCGGCGCGTTTCCAAAAACCCAGGGAGACGGTCGCGCATGGCAGAACATCCTCCCCCGTGTGTGTCCCCCGCCCGAGGGAGAACAAGATTCAGCTGGCACCACTGATACTATAAATTATCAGTGTATAGACTTCAAAAAGACTCGAAATTAGTCCAGTACTCAGCCGGTTTTCCTCCACTCACTGAGAAGACTCGACTCACCACATCCCCTTCGACTAAGGGTATATCTCGAATGGGTAGTCTTTCTGTGTGTGTATGTATTTTTCCTCAAGATACATGCCAAATTCGGGGCGTTGCTCAAAATCCAGCGAGACGGTCGCGCGTGGCGGAACATCCTCCCCCGTGTGTTTCCCCACCCCCGAGACTGCCGTGTCTTTGTGACCAGTCAGACGCAAGTCTCAATGGTTGGATGGTAGTCCCGTCGGGTGTTGCAGTTTCATTTCATCGAAGCATACACACGATGTAGAAGAGACGAGCTCCTGTGTGACCTGACACCCGTGCGATCGAACATGTGTTCTACAAGCAGTATACATCGGGATGAACATAAACCCGCACTTGTTGGACTCGCCTCCTCTTGTTTCTTCCCGTCGAACCGAGGTTACCGCGTTATGGGACATGGACTACACATACTTGTCAGCAACCTTGTGTGTAAACACATGGCCGTTCAAGATCGAGTGTTTTGTCTCTCTTTTTAAGTCATCGTCCCCCATCTGTTGCCTGTTACCTATTTTCCATTTCCTTGACCCTGCCCCCACGACAGTTCCACGACGGTCTCGGGTTCATGACGAACCACGCAGTCATCACCAACACCTTCGAGTACAGCCTTCAGAGGGTCAACCCCAAGCTGACCGTGCCGTACTGGGACTTCACCATCGACGGCTCTTCGGCCGGAGGGATTTTCGGGGAATCTGTTTCGTCGGCGGAGACTTACAGCGAAGTGTTCACGCCCGAATGGTTCGGGACGTACGACGAGGAGGACAACATGGTAAGTGTTTGTAAGAGACAGCGGGTGTGGTTCCGTCGATCTAACTCGTTTGCTGCGGGCAGCGCCCGTACGTACTTCACTCAAGCATACCCCGACCTGTGCATCGTAGTGCCCAACTTCGGCAAGCGCGCGCAAGATTAGCACCATTTGTAGCACGTGAGCACGCCTTCGAATTGACAAGGAAAATCCCCTTGCGACAAGCCGTGATTGGACATTCGCCAACGGTAGCGTTCGGTCACGGCGCACATATACCGGAGCGGAACGGCTGACGTCTCGAGGTCGTAATTTCGATATAGTCTTGCATAGTTGTTCCCAACAAGATGTAGATTTGTCTCGCTGCAAGGGGAAGCAGGGCTTTGCTGGTGATGATCTCTGCGTACGATTTTTCCCGTCGTCGTTCGTACGTGATTTCAGTTGAAAGACAGCCGGTGGGCCTTCACCCCGATCCCCAAAATGGAAGTCAACAACCCCGGTGAACTCACCCCGGACATCTACCTCAAGCTTCGCGCTCCGTGGAACGTCAACGACAGGGCGTAAGTACTGATTGTTTGTGCACAACTCGGGGTAAGGGTAGGGTTGGCCCCACTGGGAGTTGCGTACGTGATATCGTTTTACCATGCAATTGCTCGGCCGCATCCAACTACAGTAGCCGCGTAACTTTTCAGTGGGTGGACCCTGTCTCCATCCGATATTCCACCAGAAAGAGCGACGCTTTTTGACTATCCCCCCCCTCCCCGTCCGGCCTTGCTAACGTTTGGCGCACCAGTTACCTGACTCGGGGAATGGGCAACATGTGCGGCATCCCGACGAGCAACACCTACCCGTGGCCCACGTGCGAGACTCACTACGATCTCGCCACCTCCTACACGGACTTCTACTCGTACGTGTGGGACAGCCTGTACGATCCGCACGGTCCTGTGCACATCTGGATCGGGGGCGTGCTGGACTGCGAGCAGTCGTACGCCACTATCCGCAGTCTTGTCGGTGAAGAGGCCGCGGGAGAGCTCGCCATGTTCTCCTTCGTTCACCGCAAGAACTTGTACCGCGAGGGAATCTTCCAGTGCTCGGGAACCGCAAGTATCGATCAGAAGCCCGAAGAGGTGAGGTCCAAGAAAAGTAGACGAATAGAGATCCGCCGGCGCACGTGTTTTTTTTCTCTTGTCAATGTAGCACAACTACTTATTCGTCCGCGAACAGTATTCGCATCGCTGCAATGACGGACGGCCGTATTCATAGATATGGATTTAGGATTATATGTAATGATTTCATTGCGTTAGCGGAGCACACCTGTGTTGCTACCATTACGTGTTGTGTCGTGGAGTCCCTTTTTTTTTCTAGCTTGGTGTAGAATATTCCCTGAAGCAGGCAGTACTACAACCGTGCATTCAACGGCCAAAATCGATGTTGCAACATCTACTACCGTTCTCCGCTTTTCCGCTGCCTCCCACTCAGATTTTGTCCACCGGGCAGTGCGGCTGCCTTGGATACGATCTTACCCAGGGAAACGACTACGAGGACATCTTTGACCGTCTAACAATGGCGGAATCCATCCTCGGGGACGCAGATGACGATGTCAAGCGGGAGGTGACTTCGATCATTTGCAGCACCCCCGTGAATGACGGCGATCACTTGCAGGTGCGTAAAGAAAGGTGTTGTGTGTGTGCCGTGCCGGCTTTGTCGGCATGTCCGAGGGCACCATTGAATGCTGTTTTTTGTAGCCGCTGTGCCCGCTCTCTGTTGAAAAAAGATCGTGTGTGCCAATGCACGATTCATTTGACACTTGTCGGCCATGCACGCTACGCGCGCGCGATCACTGTTTTGTTGAAAACGATCCAGCTTCTGTATGCACGCTCGGTCTCGTCTGGGGGTTTTTCGTTCATCATCCACTGTGTGCCGGTAGCTCACAATTGTACCCCACGCCACCCCGATTGGCCTTCAGGCGAGCTCGTCCCTGGACCCGTCCTTCTGGCCGACGCACCCGACCATGGAGCGGCTGTGGATGTACAGCATCCTGACGGGGCACATCACGGACTTCACCTGGCCGGACGACGACGTCACCGTCACCAAGCCCGACGGCACTGTCGAGGTTGAGTCGATCAGCCTCTACGGCGAGACCTGCTCGGGACACCGCGGCAGCGACGTGTTCCCCTTCGGCCTCCTGGACTCCGACACGGACGGTTTCACGATCAAGACCGGTATCCGTGGCAACCTGGACACCGGCAACCAGCTCACCAACCGCGAGGCTCTCCAGGCCTTCGACGCCCGTTCCAACTCCCTTCCCTACGTGTACGACACCTTCAAGTGGACGCACTGCGAGGCGGACGGGGTCAACTTCGACGACGCCTGGGAAAACGCCAAGGCCAGAGGCCCGTCGTCGATTAAGAGTCGCCCGGCATTCAAGGAGGGTGAAGTCCGAAGGCCGCGCTACAGCGGCTACGAAGAGATTAAGGCGAATGCACAGGCCAGGAAGGCCAACGCTAAGGGTCAGGCCGCCGCGCCCTAATTCGCGTCCAATCGGCCCTCGCGAAGAAGCTGGCTAGCAGAAAGTGAGCCCACTCGACAGGACACACGTGGATTTTGTTTTCTACCTGCTATTTTGTGTGCCCGTTCTTGTTTCTCAACTGGATAGGTCGCCGGTGAATGGGGTATTCCGGGTGTATTGCTTTCCACAGCGCTAGTGTCTTCCTACGTTGCGGGCTCGTGCCAGTAGGGTGGATGGCTGGTGGATGGCTGTGCAAAATCCTATTATTATAGTGATTTTCTGGTGCCGGAATTGATATAAAGAATAATCCCCCTTGATTGGAAGCCCCGTCTCAAGATTATTGCAGTGTTCGTTGATGACTTTTGTTTGTTTTGGTGCCTGGTTGCTCAAGGCGGTTGTGTACTTCCTCCGATGCATTGATGCACGTCGTCGTTGTCCTTGTCTCGAGCGCTATTTTTTGGTGGTGAAAGGAATTGGCGCGTGTTCTCCCCCACCCTCGCCGACCTAGGATGCGGGATAGTGTTCAGGGTTGTTCGGTTTGTTCTACTCGTAGTACACGTTAGTTAAGTTTTTGTCAAGTCTTGGTAACTCAAACTAATATCTGTAATGTGTCGTATCATGTGTACATGTCGCTTCCCAAGGTCGGCAACGACTTTTTTGCTGCTTAGTTCACGCTTCGTCGTTATCTTGGTCCGAGAGCATGCTTCGGCCACATCGTGGCTCCTTGTGGTTGACCGAAGACGCTCATTTTTTTTTTTTTTTTGTCGTATAGGTAGTGCTTGCTGTCCGTGCAGGGACTGGAAGGGCCAGATTCCATGCCAGTAGGTGGGGCATTCAGGAGGGTGTTGAGTGTGTCAGCTGTAATGGTGCATATTTTGCGCTAAAAAGTCATGCACCGACCTCGTCAGCCCGTGCGATTGGAGAAGGACTCACGAGAAAAAGGAGATGATGAGCTGCAGCCAGCCGTCTTCCTGTTTTTGGTGTATTTTTGTCGGTGGAGGATGCATACATTCGACACAGTCACCACGGGTGCCGCAGCCCTGCCCAACTGGGTGGGCTGGTGTCTATGAGAAGTCAAATGCGGTTCAAATATGCATACATACATCAATCGTAATTTTGGAGATGGAGAGAGCGTGTTCGTCCACACGGATGGGTACGTAGTGGCACGCGCGTGGGCGCCAGTGACTGCTACACCCCACCCGCGAGACTACAGCTGTAGCGTAGTAGCTAAGTTCACGTGTGTTGGGGCAGTTTTTTTGTGCATGCGTTGTAGACAATGAGCGATGTTGGCAAAACATGGAGTTGCAAATCCCAACATCATGTTGCCTACAAACACGTTCATTGGTGGCGCCACAATGAGACGCTCGGTTTCAGGCAGGGTGAAGTTTTGAAGGTCCTCTGGGAAGCCGTTGGTTGGTTTTGAGCATGATGATCCAACGACTGATTTAGTTTTTTCATCCTGCCGTGGACCACAAAAAAGCATGAACGAATGGACGCTGGCGTCCGGAGTCTTTGAAAAAGACCGGGCTACCGCGACCATTCTCTAATACGGGGTATAAGTCTAGTTGTCGGGTTTGTTCAAAAATACAGCATTCCGACGAGATACCGCGATAAAAGGCGGCACGTGCAGCCGACGTGCTGCTTGGTGTGGGTGAGAGAGGATGCAGTAAGTAGTCCATCCTGTCTGGTCGCCTTCATTAAAGAAAGACAGTAAAGAGCTCATACCCTTACCGCCCAATAATGAGTACCACTGCTGTATACGTAGTAGTGCTGCTGCTCTACTGCTGTATAAGGACCTACCTCGTCCTAAAAACCACCCAACACATACTATACATTCCAGCTGATACATTGATACAAACAAACACAGAAAGTCTACCCGTTCGAGATATAACCACACTCGAAGGAGGGGAGTTCGTGCCGTTTGGTCTCGCTCATCAGAGTAGTGTTTTATGCATAGGTAGTGCGTGGTGTACTGCTGTACAGTAGTGAGTTGCACTACTGCTGCAACTCAAGGATGTCTCACAATCTCACAAATCCATGGTTATTAAGTTCCAGTGACGGAGGGCGCATGGTATCTTCCCGACTACCGACGGCACGATCACGATACAGGTATCACGATATATTTTGATTCCTCCGCATGTCTCCGTATTTCATTCAGCCGGCTACAGCCTGGAAAGCTCCAACCTGCACACGACTACAATACAACAGCTCCCCTGCAGCCTGGGTTTGAGAACAACAAAGTGATATCACCACGGCACGGCCACGCGTAGGGAGCGATGCCACCTCAGCTAGGTTCTCGAGGGTACGGATCTGTAGGCGATCCCGCGACGGCAGCAGCGACGCCGTCAGCGGAGGGAGAGCACCCATTTTTCGATGAGGGCGACGACGGAAAGCCGCGGCGAGGCTTGGCGAAGATCGGGCTGGCGCTTGCGCTCGCGCTAGGGGTAGCCGCCACCAGCCGCGCGGGGGTGCACACCGCGGCAGCAACCCGCAGCAGCAGTAGCAGCAGCACGCTGCAGAGCTTTGTGGACAACAAGGGGAGAGAAACGAGTGACCGGCCTGGGCTGTCGACGACGACACCCCCACCTCTCGCGTTCCAGGCCCGAAACTTGTACCACTTGAGGGACGGCAAGCCGGCCTCGGACTACCCCTGGCTGCGGGATGTCAAGCTCGTCGAACCCCACCGCGAGACCACCCTCTCTGTCGACGACCCTCGCGAGGGCTTCGAGTACCGCTGGCTGATCCGCGGCGGCAGCAGCGCCTCCGAGGTTCACACGGCGGCGAGCGGGGCGGAGGCCGTCGTTGTGCTAGAGGCGAAGCACCTGGAGGAGAACCTGGTGACGCTGGAGGAGGTGGAGATCGCGACGGGAGCGGTCGCCCGGAGGCTGGACGAGTTCGTCATGGTGAAGTACGTGCGGAGGGAGATCAGGACCCTCACGGACGAGGACCGAGAGGAGCTGCTTGACGCGGTGAGCGAGCTAGCGCGATGTGTGCTCAGAGCACACTTTGGAGTGGAGAGTTAAGGGTCCCGTGTGCTGCGGCCGCGGGAGGAGGTGTGCCGTCAGGTCTCTCGCGTGCGCAGCAGGCTGAGTGAGGCGTGTTGGCTGTCGACTCGAAGGGAGACGGGGCAGCAAAAGGTGGATTCCCGCCGTGCTCTCTGTTCCAGCCCCTGAATCGAGAAGGTGCAGGAAATAAGGGCAAGGCTCACTTTTTCGCGCATCATGAGGTCGGAAAAGGCTGACTCTGCTGAACCGCGTACCGTCCTTTACAGATGCTTGAGCTGTGGAGCGTACGAGTGCAGGACGGCGACGGAAGGGAAAAATACGGAGAGAACTACTCGGACATCTGGGCAATTAATCGCCTGCATTTCAAGGCCGCGAGCCCTCAGTTTTGCGATCACGTGAGTTAGTTGGTGGGGCCGTCATTTTTGCCGGTTCAGAAAAGGCACGCACCTTGCTGTATTTTTTTTTTTCACTGAATACGACAAACCGTTCGGGAAACTGCTGCAATCCCCCCGGTCCTTTGACCGCATCGGGGTTCCTTTGATGGGTCTGCGCTATGTTCGCACGCGTGCCACATGAAGGTAGACATCTATGTTCGTGAAATGTCGGGGAGTGTTGCCCTAATCACAAGAGGTACACAAGACCCCCATGCCCCATCCTCAGCAACCTTCGCATTCGCAGTGTTTTTTTTAGAAAGTAAAAATACACACTCGAGAGTCGAGAGGCATGTGTTGAAGTGTTTTCAGTAGGCGGATTGAAACCGACTGGAAACTTCTTTCAAGTAAACATGTTGGACAATGGATGCAACCGGGGAAATTGGGTCCTGTTTCCAACCCCTCTTTCGGTCTCTTCGTCTGGTCTTCTTGCGGAACAACGAACAGTTCCACGACGGGCTGGGCTTCTTGACCAACCACGGCCTCATCTCCAACACGTTCGAGAACAGCCTGCAGCAGGTCAACCCCAAGCTGACCCTCCCCTACTGGGACTTCACCATCGAGTCTTCCACCGCTGGCATCGCCGCCAACGAGCACTTGGACGACATGTTTGGCTCCAAGATAAAGACTCCCTTACTCCAGGAGTCTTGGTTCGGCACAGCAGACCCTACCACCAGAATGGTACGATTCTTTGGCGGCAGGGGTAGGGAAAGAGAGTTGCTGCTTTGTCTCGTTTTTTTCCTCCCTTCGGGTGCTTTTGATCACGCCCCGCTCCCGCGATGAGGCTGAGGGGGGAGGGGTATCATGTACGGTTGTTGGGGTGAGAGTACTGTATCAGCCACGTGCTGCTCTGGTTACCGACACGCACACTTTCGTTTACGGTAAACATTATCTCACAGGAAGACTTCCCGTTCGAAATATGACCCCAGTCGTAAAGATATGTGCTGAACACTTTTTTTCGTGCAGTCATGACGTCGTTTTTACCTCAAACTCACGCAACTCCCAGACATTTCTCCGTCGAAACACTCACGCCGACCCCCTCGTACCCCTCTATCGCCATGAACCGTTTGCGATGCATGCTTTGTCGCGCCTCATTTTGCGTCCGCGACACCGGAATCGGACCGCCAGGTACAAAATGGCCGATGGGCTAAGGTTGAAGTCCCGAAAATGAGGGACGGTAACCCAAGCAAGATCGAGCCGGACGTGTACAGCAAGCTCAGGTCGCCGTGGAACGTCAACGACCGGCGGTAAGGGCCCACTCTTTTTTTGTATCGTTGCAAGCAAGCTAGGTTGTGCACGAATCGATCGTCAGAGGTGATCGTAGCCAAGAAGGCAGCGTGAGCGCGAGAGGTGGAGAGAGCAGGCGGGACGCAACATTGAGGGGGGATAGGAAGTCAAGTTTGAGGCCATCCGCATCTTTGCAACTGCGCCAAACAGAGGTGCATGAGGAGTCTCTTGTGGTGTCTTGCACCCGTTATCGGCACCTTCATGGTTGGATCTTGAGGCCATTCCGCCGCTTTTGTCATCGCCAACCGCCGCATCTCTGAACCCGCTCACGCGACTCCCGTGCTCTTACCTCTTACCCCGCCCACGAAACGAAGACCACATGTCACACAACCACTTCTTGCGTAGCAGTCTAACCCTTCTTGTTTTGTCGCTGCTTGCAGGTACATATCGAGGGGGATGGGGCAGATGTGCCATGCGCGTGCGGAAAGCTTCTATCCTTGGCCCACCTGTGAATCCCACTACAACCTAGCCACCTCCTTCACCGACTTCTACTCTTGGGTGTGGGAGAGCCTGTGAGTCGATGCAACCATGCTCATGAAACGACACTAAACAAATTTGTGCCTGTAGCTGCTGTCACGAGCCCCCGGAATAGTGTTATGTCTAGGGATCCAGCGGTCAATTGGGCGCGGTAAGTGGGACACACGCAAGGTAAGATCATTCTTTAGGTCTCGTGGTGCCTACGGCGTCGAACCATTCTAGGTCTCGTCCAGGATATTGATGATGATGATGATAATGTTCCGGTGCCATATTTTTTACCGGAGGATACCCGCCTGATGTGCCCTTAGGTACGACCCTCACGGGCCGGTGCACATCTGGATCGGTGGCGTGATGGACTGCGAGGAGACCTACGGCGCCCGCATCGAAGACCTGGTCGGCGAGGAAACCGCTCTCGATCTCGCGTTGATGGCGTTCGTGCACCGCAAGGACATGTTCCGCGACGGCATCTTCTCGTGCGAGGGCAGTGTCGCGGTGACGGAGTCCCCCGACGAGGTCTTGGAGTCCGGGGTATGCGGCTGCCACGGGTACGACCTCACCCAGGGGGACGACTACCTCCAGGTATTCGAGTCGATGGTGTTCATGAAGGAGCTCATGGGTGACTCGGACGAGGACACCAAGCGGGAGCTTGTGCGGGTGATCTGCAGCACCCCGATCAACGAGGGGGATCACTTGCAGGTCAGCTCTTGGACGTTGACGCCGAGTAGCGCTCCGGCTGTGCGCTGTGTTCCCTGTGTCGGCCGTTTTACATGTTGCATCTAACGGCTGACTTGTGTATCACGATTTAGCCCGGACACCCCAGTAGTGTCTCAGCAAACCGCGCTTGTCCTGCCTATGAATCTCTGTACGGCCGATGACAGGCCGTCAGGATGAAGATAAGTGTTGTATTGTATTCCACAAACACATTTCCCGAACGACCGCTCTTCCTCCCCAACAGTCGAGCTCGTCGCTGGACCCGTCCTTCTGGTCGACGCACCCGACGATGGAGCGGCTGTGGATGTACTCGGTGCTGACGGGGCAGGTTACGGACTTCGAGTGGCCGGACGCCGACGTGACCTACACCGCTTCAGACGGCACGGCCTACTCGCAGCCGATCAGCAAGTACTCGGAGGAGTGCCTCGGCCACCGCGGGAGCGACATCTTCCCGTTCGACATCCTCGCCAACGAGGTGAACGACTTCACGGTGCAGACGGGCATAAAGGGGAGCCCGCTGGGAGGGGGCAACACCATGACCAACCGGGAGGTCCTGGCGGCCTTCGACCCCCGGATCAACGCCCTGCCGTACGTGTACGACACCTTCGAGTGGGCCCACTGCGCGGAGGACGGGTTCGACTTACGCGACGCGTGGCTCGCGAAGGGGGGCGAGGAAACGAGTAGGGGGGTGGGGGCGGGGGGCCAAGCGGTCAGCGTCAAGAAGGGGCCTCGTGCAGGCTCCCGCCAGTCGATCGGCGGGCGTACGGTGTTCGAGAAGGACGACTTGCCGTTCCCGATGTACGGCACCCTTAAGGACAAAATGGCCGACCTGAAGGCGAGAAAAGAGAGTCCAACCGGACGATAATGGAGAGTGTAAAGGTTCAGGCAGATGTAGAGTGATCGGCCTGGCGATGAGGGTGAGGGTCGGGTGTGGTGGAGTGTAGAGGTTCAGGTCGGCCTTGTGTTTGAGGATGAGGGTATGAGCACATTCTTGTTGGGGGGCTCCGTTGCGAGCGAGTTTGTTGTAGGCCGTGTGCGTCGATGTTGACACAACACAAGGCCTTGTGACGTTTTTGGGGGGGGGGCGTGCTGTTTGATTGTTACAAATGGGGGAGGGATCTTGTTCGTACGTGGTTGTTGGCTGTTGCGTAGTTTTTCTTCAGGCTCGGCGTCTTCTGTGCTCTAGAGTGGCGTTCGCCGTGAACGTGGCAATGGAGACACCAAACCGAGGCGTTTTGATTTTCTGAGCCTATATTCCTTGATTGTCTCATCCGACCAGGTGCTTGCGTTGTGGGGCGGCGTGAATTCGCACTCGTGTACATGTATTTTTTTTTGCTAGAGAGGGGGAATATTGGCGTATTCCTCCTGCAAAAGTAGCACTTCCTTCGCTCGCTGTCACTTTTGTCCTGGGTAAACTCGCCTGACATTGTTTGGGAAAGAACGAGCTTTCGTCGACTTGTTGATGGTCGTAAGTGCTCTCTCTCTGTCTTCGTGTTGTTTCATGTACACAAGTACAAACTACAGTAGACAGGTTTTACAACCCTTCCGTGCATGGTTGCTGAGGGATGTTGAGGTTTCTTGATTTATTGCTGTCGCCTTATCGCCCCTCTTCTGTGCCAGAGCGATAGGTAAATGGGTGCGTCGTGGGGTGGCTGTGTTGACGAAGCAGCAGTGAGGTTTAGCGCGAATCGACTGCAGCCCGTACGATGCACGTGTGCCATGCCTCGAGGGTTGATTGCGTTGTTTTGTGCTTGGTGTACGACTTGCGCAATTTCCTCTTATTTCAATCCGGTTCCTGAAATTGGGGAACCTTTTGACGTTGCATGCTTTTTGACTAATATTGTAGTGGGGATGGGTGGGGTGTTTTTGCTGTGCTGTTTCGATGCGGGAGACCTCGCTCAAGGTTGGTGATCCAATTCATCGCCGTCATTTTTTCTTCGTCTGATGTTGCGCGTGTTGCAAATCGAGGCTCGGAGCAGCGGTGCCGGCTTCAACTTGTTTTATTTGCATGTGGTTGAATATTGTGCAGTGCCATACTGTTGTTCATTGTGTGTATTCGCTCTTTGGCAGGGAATACCTAAACATTTTGCGAACGCTGGTTCTGTATGCCCATGGTGCTGCACACGGGGAGCTTTCCTGTTGGTTCCTCGCGCTTTTTTAGCCCTGAGGTACCCCCCCGCTGAAACCAAAACCAATACTGAATGAGCCGATTCAATCGCCGCCAAGCATGGAGTCTTGCGAGCACGGTAATCGGATTGAGCGAATGGAGTTGATTCTACTACGAGCAATGCTTAGTTTTCCATAGCATACACTTGCTTCTACTACCAGTAGTGCTATTTTTTTGTCCTGAGCGTACACACACACTACCAAGTCAGACAAATGACGCAAGAAGAAGCTACCTGTAGAGAAGGTATGTACGGGCGTGGTCGTCAGACAGCGGCGACGCCACAACTCACCATCCATCGCCTGTGCTCCTCCTCGACAAATCATGTCAGTGAAAAGTTTGAGTCAACGCCTGGAAATCACCACCCCACACTGCTATGCAACACACGTTAAGCAGTCGGAACGGCATCGATCGGTGTCCCTTGAAAATGCGTGGTGAAGATTAACCTACTACTACTGCGTACTGCAGTAGAACTACAATTTTGTTTTTCTGTCGTTTTGGATGTTCACCTTCACACCCACATACACCACGTCTCAAACTCTCACAAGTGTCCGCTACCGCGCTATGAATTCATCACCGATAATTTATCCCGGACTCTTACAGGGTATCATATATCATATATATCTGGGTGTGCGTGCAGAGAGACATGAATGAATTCGTTTTGTATTCTGTAGCATGAATCGAGATAGAGAGAGCTGTTTTACCAGCCAAGCACTCCAGCAGTAGTAGCCTGGCAGAGGTTCAATTGGTAGGTATTCTCGTCTAAGCCTTGTCAAGGCGCAAAAATGCGCAAGAAAACCCGAACAAATCAAGGTGTGTGTGGAGGCGTAGCAGTAGAGTTCTGGTGGAGTTGTAGGAAAAATAAATACACACACAGAAAGGCTACCCATTCGAGATATACCCACGTTCGAACGGGATGTGGTGGAGTCTTTTCAGTGAGTGGGGGGGGAAAACCGGCTGGGTACTGGACTTATTTCGAGTCTATTTACGTCTATACACTGATAATTTATATCAGTGATACAGCGTACCTGCGGAGCAATCGAGCAATTCCGCCGCATTTTGCGCGAGACGTTTTTCGTCTTGACTAATGCTCCATGTTTGGGGAGAAATGGGCCCTGCACCCAGCTGCGCCGCTGTTGCTTAACGGGGAGAAGGGGTCTTGAATTGGTGATGGAGGCACACAACAGTTCAGAGGGCAGCTTTATAAGTGAGACTTCAGAGGAGATTCGCTCGCGCATCTTGAGTCTGAGAAAGGGTGGCAACGACCATGGCGCCGTCGTTGCAGCGGAAGAGAGCCTAACTCGGTCGGTCGACTCTCACGGTCCCTCGTCAGAGGAGACCCGCGAAGTCGCAGCAGACCTTGTCTTAGCCTACAACCACCTCGCCATGAAAAGGCTGTCGGAGAACAACATCAAGGTGTGCCTGTTAGTGTAGTAGTCTAGACGGCACACGCAGGCGCAAAGATCTTACTGCATGCCGATCCGATCATGATGTATCATGGTGTACATTCGATCTGTACCTCGCGCGACGTATGTATGGGTTCGAGTTCACGGGCGTGCATGTATGTATGCACACAGATATGTACACTCTGTAGCGTTTCTTTTTTTACCTAGCTTGAACGTATGCTACAATGTGACACTGTATGCTATTACAGGTTCTGGCTACCGTAGGTTGCCCAAGATATCACACCCCCTGCACCAGCTCGATTTCTCCCTGACGAAGAGTACGCCAAACTAAAAGGATACCACGTTATAGGCAAGCTCTCGAGGAGAACATTTACCAACGCCGCCATTGTCGGAGCCGTCGCTGTTTTATCTGTACAATAATCAAGCTTTTGAAATTGGTAAGTCCCGGGGCGTGTGGTGTCTGACGCAACCAATGCATACGGTACTGCTGTACATGCACACACAGACAGACGAAAACAACGGCTCTCTAGACTGTATGTAGAAAGCAAGCGTCCTCCCGCATGTAAGCGTAGGAAATCCTCCAGCCCCCGGGTGGTTCGGCAAATCTTAACCATATTCCCCTTCCACCAAACATGCACAAATCAATGATTCAGGCCTCAGTTCGCCTACTACAGAAAGCCTCGCTGCTGACCAGCCGTGGGCAGCCTTTTCTTGGCAAGGCAAGGCTTCAGGCCCGCGCGTTGACGCTCAACAACTTCGGCTGCCTGATGAAGAACTGGGGAAAGCCACGCGAAAGCGTCAAGTTTCTCGCCCGCGCTCTTAGAATAGAAGCCAAGGTGCCCGGGGGCGCGGACAACCCCGCCGGCACACACGTGAACATGAGCGCCGCTTTGTCGACCATTGGGCTGCACCGGGAAGCCGCTATGCACGCCGGTCACGCCATCGACCTCGCATCCCAAGCGATGATGGAGCAAGAAGCAGGGTTCTCCTACGTCGAAGACCCAAACACCGCGAGTGGTGACCCAGCGGATATGGATGAGGACGGTGCTGCTGTTGCGTCGGTTCATCTTACTTCTGCCGACAGCGGGACAAAGGGTGGTGTCGGGGATAGCGGTAATAGCGTTCCAAGTGTGGGGGTCACAGGATGTCTTGAAAGCAGCAGCGTTCCTCGGCCGGAAGTCCAAGGGGAAGACGGGGAGACGGTTAGTTCTTCGGCCGTGGCGGATGATGGGCGTACATGTAGTCCAGAAGCATCCTCGTCAGTCCACCACGCGGACCATGACGTGCCAGAAGGCGGAAAAAAAGCGAACCCCGCCGAAAACGGTACGGAAGGCCATGGAGGAGGAGGAGGAGGAGAGTCTGCAGGGGACGAAAAGAGCGTCCAAGGAGACACGAGCTCGGTCGACAGGCAAGACGGACCACCATCGGCGGCGGGAGGGCTCCTCGCCATCGCCTGTTTCAACCTTGGGGTCGAGAGGGAGCACCTTGGTCAGCTGGACGCGGCAATTGCCTCGTACAAGTACGCGCGTTCGGCGGCCGACCAGCATCTTGGGCCGGAGAGTCCCGTCGCGAAGGGGATTGAAACCGCGCTCGAGAAAGCCTCCGCCGCCGCCGCCACCGCCGCCTCCTACTCCCGTAAGCGCGCGGCTTCACGCTCCCGAGTAGCGGTGTCGTCCTTCCCTTGCATAGGCAAGCTCAAGTTCGGTCAAAAAAACTCGCAAGTGCCGTCACGCTTCGACGGCGTGGGCCTTTCTCCGCGATGCCGGTCACAGCAGCAGCACGGGGAGGAAGTCGTTGGCGAAGCAACGGCAAGGGACCTCCTCGAGCACGCGTACACCAGCCCTCGTCCGTGCCCTGCCCCACCTCACAAAGGTTCATGGGCACGCCTCGGCCATGTACCGACCCCTCGATCGGCCCCTCCAGCACGGTCGGCGTCGCGTGGCCCTCAGCGGGCGGGGAGGTGGACGAGCGTCGACACCCCGGCGGCGCGGGCGATGAAGGAAGCGCAGCGGCGGTCGGAAGGGTGGAGAAACGGCGGCAGGAAGCGTGGCGACGTCGACGGGGATTTGAGGTGGCGGGCCTTGGCTTGTGCTGAGTGGCAGTGCAGTCCGAGGGAGGCACTGCACGCCCAGCGGCAGGTTGCGGAGCAACACGGGGTGGATGTCGGGGTGGCTGCGCCAACAAGCGATGCTACATAGTAATAGCAAGCTAGCTTTAGCTCCTTGTATGTACATGCCGAGGTTCCAGGTCATCATAGACCCGATGATCTGGCTGATAGACATGCTAGGGGAGGTGAGGGAGGGGTGGATCGGTGTGGTTTTGAAGACCGACTTTCTCTCGCTCGGGGTAATATCTTGCGAAGATTCGCCACTTTTTGTCTTCCTCTCCTCGCTTTGCAAGCCGTCATCGTGCTTGTTGGCTGGGGATCCGCACATGGTATTGTTCATGATGCGGGCGTATTGATAGTGTGGAGGTTACAACACTGTTTTTGTTTTTGGTTCTAGATGGGTCCGAAGGTGTAATATTGTGTCATATTTTGAAGTTGTTGTGCCCACCTTAGGATGTGTCGTCCTTGTATGCACCTGGTGGTATAGTCGAAGTAGCGTATTGGGCAGAGAACTTGACGGCCACGGCAGGGCTAGAAGAGCTCAGTTCCTTGCTACAACAAAGAGCCACTAACAACAAGCCTTCCTTGTAACGTCGGGGAATCGGTCGCGCTGTTTTGGCGGGCAGGCGGGCGGGCTAGAAGCAAGTGCATGTGCACCATGTACAAGCGAGTATTGTAACTTTCTCCTTCACTGCGGAAAGACGTTCAAACGCACAACCAAACGATGTAGCCCCAGTGCTTGAAATACATGAAAACGACTCCGTTGGACCTACCCGAAGCGAGCCTCTTCGGCCAAGCGGGTGGCCGGCCGAAGGTGCGTCTGTTCGGTGCAGTACTCCCACTACCGTCGCCCAGCGCCATTTAACAAATCAATTAGGATCTACGAGGGTCTCCTGCGGGGCTGACACAAAAGCTCATGCTCGCGGGTGTCAGCCGGCGTTGCGGTGTGAACAGTCAAGCAAAGGCATACTCCTGTGTAGCCTCGCGGCAACGAACTGCACCAGAGAGAACTCTGTGCCGCAAATACGTGCGCGACAGCAACGGGTTCGACTCTTGCCCATTGAACTGAAAACCAAATAGTGCTACAATGAACAAACCCCAACGGGATCCCACACGAGTTCCTTCAAAGTCTCCCGTCACTTGCTGCTACATGTCTTTTACAGACGCTGTGTCGGAATATCACGATTCGGCATGCCGCCGGACAGTCACATGGTCACTCAGTCTGCGAGAACAGCTCGCGAAGAAACCGAAGAAAACACCGTAAATCGGCGCAAAAAATGCCAACATGGTAGAGAAAAAGTACCGTCAATGAGCAGTAGCACGTCGCCGAACGAGATCACCCTACCATAAGTCTACCCGCTGAACACCTTTCTTTTGCTCTAGCCAACACAACACAGCAGTAGTAGTGGATAAGACGTATACTGCTGTGGGGCAGGTATTGCATGGTAGGCGTGGGAAGTTGCCAAGACTAGACAGCAATGCATGTCTTTTTCGGCGACATAGGAACACAAGAAGACTTCATTCACTAAACGCATTCTCCAACCGATACACCCCAACTCGCCTGCAGTATGCATAGACTGCGCAGCCTGCCACGTGCGTGAACACCGGCGTCAACCGTCCTCCGGCCAAAACAGCTGATAATCGACAAAGAACAAATACCTTCGCGTTGAGCGATAATACCTTGCTGCAGAGACTAAACTCCTCCGCCCCCCGCTCCCCCCCCCAAAAGTCAATATGATTGATGATTCATGCGCACCAAGCAAGCCGTGCGAGCTAGCCGCCTCACGGTTTCGGTAAGAAGGAATAACGCGGCGTCGGCTACCACTGGCTGCAAAGCACATCCATCAGCGCATCGGACTTTTTCAATGCAAACAAAATCGCCGTAACGTATGTATATCTCCCACCCCAATCGAACACATCTGTACAAGCCGCTCATTGGTCGGTTGGCAACTTCGGTCGGGCGGAGGTGTCGGTCGTTGAGCAACTGTTCCCCCGCCACAACCAACAGCATCGATCGGTCTCGAGTACCCGAGCTTTGTACGCACGGAGTGGCCACACCAAGATTGGCCTCGAACAAAACTGCGTCATCAAAAGTGAGGCCGCAACCAACCCCCTACCCCACCTCTCCCAACCCAACCCTCCCTCCTGTTAGGGGCCCCTTCGCTCAGGATTCCACCGACCCCTACCTACCCTGCGAGACCTTCTGCTCCCCCTGTATATAGCGCCCCAATACCATTCATTATCCCTACAGACGTAAAACCCATGCATAAACTACACTGACTGCTGTTCGAGAGACCACTGCTGTAGAAAGAAACGTGCACAGGGGCGAAAGGCCCTCTCCTGTCCATCATCCAGTTCAGAACTCGAGCTCTGCTTCCTCGTCGCTCTCGCCGTCCGCTACCGCCGCGGAGGCGCCGCCCAAGTTGCCTCCAAGCTCCCCATCCTCGTCTGAATCGTCGTCATCGTCCTCGTCTGCCGCGCCCCCCACGAACTTGCCAATCTCTGACGCCGTGCGGCGCTGAGAGGCAATCGCCGCCTTGCGGCGAGCGCGGGGGTAGATGATGTTCCCCTTGAGCGCAGAGAGTTCGTCTGTTCGGACAGGCAAGAGAGGTAGGGGGTTGACGGGGGGGGGGGGGGGGGGGCCCGGGTTTTCTTGCCCTTTTTGGGGGGCCCAACCCGGGGCCCGCAAAAACCCCAAAGGGGGGAACCCCCCCCAACCCCTCCCCCCCCCCAAAAGAAACCGCCCCCTAAACCCGGGGTGGACGTTTTTTTGGGGCCTCTAGGGGAACGGGGATACCCCAACCCCCCCCGTTTATTGGGGGGGAAAAATTGGCCCCGGGGGGGGGGATATTTTTGGGGGGGGCTGATTCCCCCCCCCAATGGTTCCCAACTTTTCCCAACCCACGGGCCCCCTGGAGAAAACTTTAAAAGAGCAGGGGGCCCCCCCAAAAGTCCTTGTTTTTTTTTCTCCCCCAAATAATTTTTCCCCTTTTGGAACC